ATCACATGTAAAGAACTTTTAATAACTATTATACTGTAATTTTATCAAGGATCAAAGATTAAAAACGAATCATTTAATGAACCCTGACAAAATGCTAGACAAGCAGTCAATTATTCATTCTTCAATTTCCGCATCTGATCTCAAAACAACATAAGGTGATGATGATATACAAAACAGTAGTAAGCTACTACCTCATCTGACTGAAAACAAAGGAAAATTTTATGAACATGGTTGATGAGAAATTGAAAATATGACAGTAACCACCAGTTTATAACCATCACTTCTTATATCTTTATATATACTTTGAAACAATGGAAACATTAACACAAAAGGACATTGATACATTTGGCATACAAGGATAAACCTGTCAAGTATTTTAAAAGAAAATTAGCAGATAAAAAAGTCTTTTCTTTCAGATTTTAGAAGGAGTTTGTAAGGAGGATGAGGTTGGGAACCATCAGTCAAGACAACAGCAAATTGCGACTTCTGCAAATGCTGAACCATATCAACAATGCTTCTCAACGTTCTTATGCTAAGTCTTTCTCAACTTTTCCTCATATCCAGTTCTAGATAGTGATGTGATATGTGATCTACTCTTTAAGTAAGTTATTTATTTTTTAGATGGTGCCACTATATTATGAGAGATAAATGGCCTTCTTATAAGGGGCTGAGCCAATTAGAATACAATTATTGAGCTGTAAACCACCAAAAGACCTTGTCAATCCTGCAGACAATATTAATACTCTAACAAATGGATCATACTAGGAATTTTAACACTAAAGGTTCTACACAACAAGTGGAGTATTACACTAAAAATCCTCCACATTATCTAGCAGAAGATCGGTGGAAATCCATTTTGGCCATGCTCAGCGACATTTGTAATGTATATGGCAGAACAAGTCAGAAAAACAGCCCATTTAAGGGCCACTTTTGTAAAACAGGAAGAAACTGAATTTAATGGAATTAAAACTCTAATAGGTTATTAAATTAATTAATGGAATCGATTTTCTTCATGTATTCTTAATTATTTGTATTTAAGTTCATACTTAACACTTCAGAACCGTTATCTAATAAATAAATAAAAACGATAGAATACATACCACAACATTATTCAATATTTTGGTTAGATAGGACAACTCATCCTCGTGATCAGAAAACCAGTCCTGGGCAATGTGAGCTGTGTGAACAGGGGCTTTGTCGTCTTGGAAGACACCATCACCATCGGGGAACAAAGTTTGTACCATGGGATGAACTTGATCGGCCAAAATGTTCACATAAGTCTTGGCAGTCATGTGCCCTGACACAGTTATCATGGGGCTAGCAGAGAACCACGATATGGCTGCCCAACCATAACAGAACCCCCGCCATGTTTCACTCTTGGCACAAGCAGTCTGTATTATAGGCTTGAGATGGCCATTCTCCGACGTAAACTCGGCCAGAAGTGGGAAAGCAATGGGAAAGAAGACTCGTCAGACCATATTACTCGCTTCCACTGCTCTATAGTCCAGGCTTTATGACTTAAACACCACCTTTTCCTGTTACGGGCATTAGCATCACTGATGAGTGGCTTCTCAATTGCAGCACGGCCAGCAATTCCCTGCTTAGAAGCTCCCTTCTAATTGTTTTGATACTCACAGGGTTCGGTAACACAACATTCATTTCAGCAGTAATTTTTGCAACTGTGGTCTTCTTATTTTTCGTCACAATTGCCCTTAATGATCGTCTGTCACGATCACTCAGGACACACTTTCGCCCGTGCTGTGATTTAGTAGATGATGTTTTTCCGCTTTTCAAATATGCGGAATAAATCTTCGATACAGTACCTCTTGAAACACTAAACACCTTGGCTACCTTGCTTGCGGAAGCACCTATCATACGTGCTCCAACAATTTGCCCATGTTCGAAGTCTGTTAACTCTGACATAATGCAATGACAACCTCACATAACAGTACTCTGACAACAACTAAACTGTTTAGCACATTTACGAAGTTGTATAGGTGGCGTCAGTAGTCAAAAACGTCAGCGCCACCTACATATTTCATTAAAATCCATTTTTCTTTTCAAACATGTATTTCACAAGGTGTTTCCATATTTTTGTCCATCCACTGTAAGTATCCTGTTGATAGGAAACAAATGCGTATGATCGAACTTCAGAGGATAACTGCACTACGGAGGATATTTTTTACTGTTATTTTTGTGAATTTATGTGGCGACCCCAGTATACAGATTCTAGTTCAGATAATTTTAGGCAGTTTTGGATGCTGTTAAGGAATTTTGTTTGACTGAAGACACTGAAATTTGTAAATAAGGTAAGTGGATATTTCGTTTGTGTTGTGCTAAGATGAATTCCCTTTTTTATGTTATTTCATAGTTTGATTTAAAATGTAGTTTATTGAGATTATATATTTTTTGTTGGCTGCTCCTTTGACTTTTTAAGTGAACATAGATTGATGTGTACATAGGTTTGAAGTGCAGAGTTGCCCACTTATTTGGCGTGCTATGTTTGGCGCTTTTTACAAGAGTAGGAATAATTGGATTTTTTTTTGTCAATTTCCTTTGACTTTTTAAGTCAAAATACATCGATGTGTACATGGAAAAAGTCATGGGAGTGCACAATGATGAATTTGTGCAATTCTCTGATGATTTTTTTTAATGAAAAAAGATTGACGTGTACATGGATAATGAGTTGTGCAATTCTTCAAAATGTGCCAAACAGTAAGTGATTCTGCACATTCCCCACAAGCACCTTGTTTGTGCAATTCTCTGTATTTTTTTTTTTTTTTTTTAGTGAAAATAGGTTGATGTGTACATGCATACCAAGTTTGTGCAATTCTTTGACTTGTTATTTTGGATTTGTATAGCAGCGATTTTTGGGACAAAAATTGCCACTACACAAAGCTAAAATAACAAATCAAAATAACAAATTGCACAAACTTGGCATCCATGTACCACCAAAAATCACCAAGGGACACCCATAAATATATTTTTACCAATATTTTTTTTCCATCCACCCAGATAGTATAGTGGTTAGGGAAGCCTGACTGCGATACCAAAGGGCCTGGGTTCAAATCTCAGAGAAGGCATGGTTGTAACTGTCTATCCCCTTCATAGGAGGCGATGGTGGCCCACCTATTAGGTGCCTCCATAATAAAGAAACCACCAATTTTTGCAGCATTTTGTGCAAAAAATTTTAAAGACCAAATAGGTCTTACATCACATTACTTGTTAGCTTTTCAATTATATATATAATATATATATATGAGCAGAAATTATCGAGTCTCAATTTTTCCTCCTGCCACTAAATATAGATATGCATAAGTTGTATTCCAAAAAGGTATCAACTTGGCAATATTTGTTTTGAATAATAACATCCACCTTATTTTTAACTCAGAACATTTTTACATTTGCAGTCTACAATTATAGATGAATTTTAGACTAAGAAATTTTTATTATTAATATGCAATGAAGAGAGAGGGGTCAAAGAATATGTGATGTGAAGTTTGTCTGGAAATTTAAAAAATATATATATATATATTTGTTGCTATTTTCTCATATCCAGTATCTAATTGTTTGTGCAACTGATGGTTTAATTTTGGAAGCATTTTAATACAGCAGTACGTGTGACTGCTATCTTAACAAATTATACGTTGGTGTTCATTAATGAACTTGACAACAATAATATATATATTAGTTACTATTTGATGTCTGAACTATGTTAATAATGGAAATCTGCTTTTACTGAAATTTTAAATACTTTTAAATTAATCCAACTTCATAGCAAGGTTGCTTTTCTATTACCCTACGATCCATGGGAGAAAATCGGACGAAGACTTTTTCTATAATATACATGACGAAATTTATTTTTACAAAATAATCCATTTAAACGAAATAAAATATGGTTTAAATGTCAATTCCATTACAGTTTATATGCATGAAGAATTTAAAGCATCATTTTTTTTTTTAATTATGCAGTTGCTAAAATGTAATGTAAAGTTCTAAATACAAATCACCAATTAAATTGTTCGCATACATCTTTAAACAGTTATATAATTAATTACTTTCACTTTAAATAATTGAACATAACAATAAAAATACAAAAGTAAATTATACAGAAACTACATGATAAAACAAGTCAAAAGTAATTAAGTATTTGTATATTTCAGAATTACACATACCTAAATATACATATATATATAAAAAAAGCACACTGATTCGATTTTTTAAATTGATATGTTCAAAATACTTATACATATACAAATGTGTATATGCATGAAGTATTCAAGCAACTTCCCACTGGAAGCAAAATCCCCAACAGGAAGTAGCGTACACATTAGCGTTGTTTTTGTTTTAAGTTTCACACTCAAACAAAAGACGAAGTGTTAGTACTTTTTCTTTCATTGATATCAATTTACGGCAAGGCTGAAACTTAACAGTAGGCTCAGGAGCCTTATCTTGGAATATTGACAATAAAATTTGAAATTTAATTGATAGGCAGAATTTTTAATTACTGGAAATTAGTACGAGCTGCTAGTTACTGGTGTTAATCGAACTTACAACTTTTAGCACCACAGTTGAAAAATCAACGATGCAAATTTACCAGTGGTCGAACGTTAAGGGAACCCAAGTAAATTGACTCTACAGTCTCCAAGAACGGTATTGCTCCAAGACGAGTCGATTAGTCTGTCTGCTTTTTAATGACAATTAAATTATATTTTAAAAAAAAAAATAAAAAAAAAAAAAAAAAAAGAATGAATGCGCAATGAGCATGTAAATTGTAAACCTGCCCTTATACAACGTGATCGAAAGCCATCTGAAATGTGAGTTAATGACACGTCTGCCTACGTGACAGTAGACCCAGTTTAAAAAGATCTCGAATAATAGCATAGGTTTTTATTACCCTCTGTTTTTAGAAAACTGACATCAGCAGCGTGTATTTATTTATTATTTTCTGCTATTGCAAGGTTTGGCATCGAAACCAAAGCAGACGAAATGTTGCCAGATCTTTTCCGCTGATTTTTAAATCAACGTAAACATGTGAAGTAAGACCGGTTTGTCAGCTTTTTAGACGGATCAGTTGACGGGGCTTCCGAATTAAATTTATTCTGCTGAACTGAATCGGAATGTAATAGTTAACGTAAGAGATGATATGAATGAAGATTACGGGTCTTTTTTTTTTAACTTATAGGCTGAGGTTAATTAAAGTATTCAAAATATATAATAAATGTAGTACAAAATATGAAGAGCGACACGCTTTTAAATATACAGACGGACACTCAGTGGTGGCTGGTATTTGGAGTTTTAACTTTACTAGCTGTTGGGACAAGATTGTATAAAATTGAGGAGCCAGATCATGTGTGGTGGGTTCATTAAATTCAGTGATTTTTATTCATGAAAAATTTGAAATATTATTTTCATTGAATGAGTTGTATTCATATATTCATCCATATTTATTTATTTTGCAGTTGGGATGAAACTCATTTTGGAAAAATGGGCAGCTGGTACATAAATCATACATTTTTCTTTGATGTACATCCGCCTCTTGGAAAGGTTTGGAATGTTTGGTTAACAGCATTATATATTAAAAAAATATAGAAATTTATTTTTGCATGGTATGCCTTCTTTCCTGTGCAAATTTCTAACACTGAAGTTTCCTGAAGTGAAGTGTTTGAAAAACAAAAACTGATTGAGAAAAGTTTTATACTGATGTCTTTTTGTATGATTTCTTCCTTTTTTTTCTACGAGCTTCTCGATTTTGATTTTTGTACTTAAATTCTTTGTTAAATACTTGATGATTTTAGGTATTAAGTTTTAATCCACGTGATAAAATAGTAATTTTTTTCTCAAAATATTTCAGTAGCTTATGAACTAAAGAATATACAACTGACAAAACATGCCATTTGCTATTGTAAAGCTTAACATTTTTTTGTTGAATTCATTTTCACCAAAATATTTTTCCAAATTTTTTGTGCACTGTTTACCACAGCAGTTAATAAGTCTGTTATTCTTCATATTATTCTTGATATTTGTTTGTAATATGCAAGATTCTGTTATTTTGAGATATCTAATTAAACTTTTTTTTACCTTCTCTTGCAACTGAATGCAACTATGGAGCTGTACCTTGCAAAACACTGTGTCACTTTTATGTATTTAAAAACAGTATTTGAAGTATCAAGAAAAATGTAGATGTTAATGAGCATATATAATTTTAAATTCATAATACAGGATGATCAGTTCAAAATTAAACCCAATTTTCATTTGTGTATATTGTGCGAGAGACTTTTTCATAATATTTTTCTAACATTCTTTACTTTATGTTTGTTTCAGAATACTACTTTATAAATATAGGCCTTTAGTTATACTGTTTTTATATTGTTGTGTATGTTTATGTTATATTTTTGTAGCCTATATTTATATTGTATAAATCAATATTGATATTGTTTTATAAATGTGAGGTTTATCCTCACATTTAATCAATAATAATCTAAAAAATAGTGTACAGTAGTTCTGAAAATGATCCTTTCACTTTAGCAGTACAAAAGTGAAAAAAGATTTGGGTAGCTTGTAAACATTTGGTGCAAAATTTTATATACTGCATAATTTTATTTAGGAATGATTATGATTTGAAAATTCATGTTGGATTTAAAAAATTTTCTAAGCTGGAAGTAAAATTCCATAAATAGAACTTATGAAATAAAATGGAATTTTTTTATTCTGGTATTTTTATATACTACTTCCAATTTAATGCTATAGAAGAAATTAGTAAAATATTCATACACTGAAATGACTTATTTATTTAATCATTGTTTTACAATATTAAGTATGCTGTTTTAGAATGCTGGATTTGTACAATTTTCTTAAGAAGGAAAGTGAGAGCAAATTTTATAAGTGTACTGTTATATTAGCCGGTACTTGCTGATACATCACCAAAGTTATATCCCTAATTTTGATTGCTACAAGTAATCAATACATTTAGAAGTTGTTCCAGATTTTTCTAGAAAGATGAAATTTTGATTTCTTCCTTGTTAAACTCTCTCTCTCTCTATTTTTTTTTTTTTTTTTTTTTTTTTTCCTTTGTGGGAAACTGAGGAGGACTTCTTATTATTATTCACTATTATTATTGAGTGCATACTTCAGATGTATTGGAGCAGTCATATCAGAATTTTGTGATTTTTTTTGGGTGGGGGAGGGGTTTACCCTGTTGTCTTGTCAATGAATTTCATGGAAGTATGGTTGCAAGAGCCTGAAGGAGATTGAACATATTTCTGCCCCAATTTTGAGGGCGAGCACCCTGGGGTCAGATCTAAATATCATTATTAAATCAATCTGTTTTTGTGAAATTCAAATAATGGTGTGAAGTAATTGAAAGATATGGTAAGCACTTTGTGCAAACAGTGCTTATTCTTAGAAAAATTTAGATATGCAAGTTTATAAAGCCAATAGACTGGGTGTTTCATATGAGGTTTTGATTAAATAATGCATTTAAATCTATAGTAAGTCATAAGGTGTCCCTATTAGATGTATTTTTTTTTTATGAATAAACATTGAATTATTTATTATATTAAATGCGCTGAGGTTATTCTTTCTACATATTTAATTTACATTAACGTAGTTTGTGATCCGTGATAGACTTATTTCGTTAAATTCAGCTTTAAAATTATTTCATTACTTATTCAATTAAACATAATTTATGTAATATGTTCAATCACAATTTACAATCTGCTGCTTTTTTTTTTTTTTTTTTTTTCGTAGATGCTGATTGGCTTATCTGGAAAACTAACTGGTTACAATGGGACATTTGCCTTTAACAAGCCAGGTGACAAATATGGTGATCATAAATATTTAGGAATGAGATTGGTATGCATAAAAAAAAAATATTACTTTTATGGGTATTAAGGGGGAAAATTATGCATTTCTAATTATTTTGTTGAATTACTGTGAAGAGTAAAAATGTATTTTAATGGAATATATTATAATCTGTTTTAATCATATAGTAATTCTCATTTTTATTTTCTTTCAGTTTTGTGTATTTCTGGGGATCTGTATCATTCCTTTCTCTTTTTTAATAGTCTGGGAGTTGACTAATTCTTTATCTGCCTCTTCCTTAGCTGCCTTTTTTATAATATTTGGTAAGTATTTTAATATAATTCAGAAGAAAAACAGTAGGATAACATTTTATAAGACTGCGGGTTCATAAAAAATGTATTTACTCTTTTATCAAGACTCTTTTGTTATGTTGCTATTATATATGACTTGTTCTATTTATAGCTTTTGCCATAACTTTCAGTCACCATTTTTAAATATATATATATATATTAAATATTTAAGACTTGAATTAGTTATTTAATAGAATTTCATTTATAACAGAAATATTCGAAGTGAAGCTATTTCCTGTAACTTTTCTTCTGATAATCCATGACAAATATTTTCGGCAGTAGTAAATACCTGTAGTCCTGTATCTGTTTTACAGCAAAAGCTCAACTATCAAGAACAGGAAATGTTTAATTCCGGACGCGGGAAATTTCCAGATAGTTGTGCTTATACAAAATGCAATTCATGTTAGAAAAGCTTTAAGGAAATTTCTTTCTCGATTTTAGACAGGAAATTTCTTTCTCGATTAATAGTTAATCGAGAAAGATTTCCTGTCTAAAATTATAAAAACAGTCATTTTCTTTGCTATCAACATGAGTATCAAAAGCCTACATTTAAACTTATGATAGATTATAAAAGCAGCACCTGTTTCCCAGGCCTTTAACGTATGAAATTAAAACATCTTACGTGATTACAAAATGCAGTTGATCATGTAAGTTGGCAGAAGTTCTGCCAAACTTGTGCCAATTATTTTGGTAGAAGCTTAAAGTCAAAATATCATCATATTTTGTTTAATTAGAATTGCTAAGGTTTAAGTCATGGATATAATGTATAAAAAGTTAAATCGCATAGCCTAATTTTTCATATTGTAATCACCATTGTTTATTCATTTTCAAATAAAGTCACATATTTTGACCATTAAAACATGTTTTTCTTGATGCCATGATCTTGTAACTTCCATAAATGATCCTTAAATACCATGTTGTTCCAGAGAAAGGAGATCCCAAACTGGAACCATTTTTTTCAAATTGCCGAGGGAAGCACCTAAATAACAGTTAATTTGTATCTTCTTTACTGAAACTGGCTTATGGAACTGAGAAGGTTTGCAACTTTAATGACTGTTAACATATATTAGTTAAAAAAGCTCAAAGGTTGCAAGTTAACTTGCTTATTCATGGTTTTCGATAAAAGTTTGAACAATGTAGTTATTGTAATAATTCCAATTAAATTTATTTTTATTGTTGTTGTTGCTTTAGTTTTAGAAAAACTTTTCTAGTGACAGCCCCCATTAAACATACTGGCGAGTCCACTGATCACGTTAGACAAACTAAATACTTATTCTCATAGGCTTTGCCATCATTATTAATCTGTCACAGGCTTTGCCACAGTACCAAAGAACTTTTAATAATAATTCTCATTAGAAATTCTTTGGTGTGCTTTTTGTTCTATGATGCGAGATTTCCTTGCTTTTCTTTCTATGAGGTTTATTTCCTATTCCAAGGATGAATTCTAGGAACAATACAATGGATACAGTGATAGGGAGGGTGTGTTAACAATGTCTTCTTAAAGAGAACTGTGTAATGTATTCACATTTTAGAAGTTATCAGTAGGGTTTCAAAAGTCCTTCCTATGTGTACTTTTTGATGGCATTACAGGTCTTCCATTTCCTTAATTGCTTGGAAGGAGTGTTTTAAAAAAACTGAAATAATAAAATTTTCTGGTTAGTGGAATGCCAATAAGTCAGGTTTTTACTGTATTTCATTTATTTACATATATTGCAATATACTATTTATATATTATTTAAAATAACAATGATCCTTTTAATTTTTCAACATTTTGCTGTATTACTTGCAACCTAATATTCTGTGTTCTTTTATCTGTTTGTTCAGATAAGTTTTCATACATATTAAAAAGGCTCTTTTTTGTATACATAATTTTTATAGCAGTGTTGTATTTCATGTAAATAAATCTTTAAATTTCCTTTTTAAACTTTTTATTTTGAGTTAAATTATGCAAAAGAAATATGGAATTGGTAATTACATAAACATTGGTGTTACATTTTTATTTATATTATAATTGTAACTTTTATTGAGTTATTTTTTAATCTGAAAAATGCATAGTAAAATTTGATAGTATTGTTATTTGAGTGCATGTGTCAGTATGTATTTCTTAAAAGCAACTTTTAAAAATGGGAAGTTATATATAGTACAGAACTTAAAACTGAACTTGTCAGGACTTCAGTTATTCTGGATTTTGGAAATTTTCAAAATTTTAGATCATTAATTTAAATCTAGTATGATGATATGTAGAAATTATTATTTATAAATGGGAAAAAATTAAGCATTTTTATGACCTTAAGGGAACCAAAATTTGGGGGGGAGACCAATGCTAATATTTATTTTGTTTTATTAAACATTTATTTTAACTGAAGACTTTTTAGTGTATGTGTATTGTGTTAACACTTTCTCTTTAATTTTATGTAGAGATATAGTTTTGTGTCCGGTTATAAAGTTCTATTGTTTAAGTTATATAATGTATGTGTCCTAAATTGCCACTAAATATACAGTTGAATTTTTTTTTTTTTTTTTTATTCTCAGTAACCTTTTTGTCACTTTTTTAACTATCAGTGAAATGTTATGTATTTAAAAACATACAGATTTCACTATCTATTAATTGACTTGATTGAGTCATTGTAATGAAGAGAGTTATATCATCTTCACTTAGCATTTATTTGCATTTCTTCACTTATTTTATTGATCAGAAATTTTGCAGCCCTTCGTGAGTGCAGATGCTTTGCATTTTTCTCGTTTTGCATATTTCCTTATTGGAAGTTGCTTTTGCATCAAATAATTAATCACTAGAGCATTGTCACTGCAGTGGAAGACTTTATTTATATTGAAGGCAGAAAATACCTCATATACTCCCCTTCCTGAAGGAGGTGAGGTCCTAATCGGCAAATCTTGCTGGTGACGAATTAGCGTCTTTTAGTTCAAGTGCCACTGTAGAGTCATAGCTTATTTTTGAAGCAAGATATGTGAAAAATGAGCAATGCCCTCACCGAAACTTGAACCTGGACCTCTCGAATACGTGCCAAGTGTGATACCGTTACACTATGAAGGCATGCTGGAAGGAGAGAGAAAACACCTCATAAGCTCATTATAAATTATGCTATTTAAAAAATATCTACAGGTATACCCTGTAATGAGCTTGTAATACTTCACCATGACAAATTTTAATATTATTATTAAAAGTGATTAAAATATTTCAAGAATTCTTAGATAGTCATAAGCTGCATCAATTTTGTAAAGACTACTTTACATCTGTTTTTCAGGGTTTACAAACTTATGATATTCATTGGTTGAAAAATGGATATACAGTTCTGAGGAAAGATTAAAATAAAAATATCCTATTATCATTTACTAAAATTTTAATTTTGATAAGATAAAACTGCACTAAATTGGAAAATTTATAAATTTGGGGGGGGGGTAAATTAAATGTATTTAAAAAAAAAAAAAAAAAAAACTTTTTCAAATTTTTTAACTTAGTGATTTTATTAGTGAATGGCAGATTTAGTTTCAAAATTTTTCGTCCCAAATACATTAATGAGATGCTTGTTCGGATTTATACAGGCTTAGAAATTTAACAAGTTCATTCAAAATGTTAAAGGATTTATTTACATTAGATTTTGAAGCATTCAGCATTTTACTGATTGTATCAAATTTTGGTAAAATATTATTCTGTATAATGACTGTGCAAATGAACTTGAAAGAAGCAGTCTGATCTAACAAAACATTGAATCTGTACCATCTAGTATGTCATTTTAATTTTTCTAGACTTTTCTTAATTTTAGACTGAGAGATTACATTGCTATTATTGTATTTTCCCATCTTCTATCAATTATATTGTTCTGGTGATATTATGATGTAGTATGCTTGTCATTTTGAAAAATATTCTTGGGCAATGTCAATAAAATTAATCATTTCAAATACTTCTTTAATTATGTAAATTCAATGAATGTGGTGCATAATGTGCAAAAGAACAACAACCAAAAAGTTTCAAGATTTATATTGTGATTTTATTATGTAAATCATTTTTATAACATATGCATTTGTCATATAAGCATATTCTTCTCTATGCACATCTGGAATATCTGATCCATAACTCGTTAAGAGATCACTCAAAAAGGAATTAAACTTTTCCTTTTATTGTCTGATACCAGATAAAAATGAATCCATGAAATAATTCTGAAATTGCCACATCAGAAATGTTAGTATTTATAATTCATGCTTGAAATGCTGGTCTGATCCCGTGACACTCTTAATAATAGTAATTTCCAATTAATTTTTATCTAAGACTTAAATGTAATTTTTCTTTTGCTAATAAAATGTGCCCTTTGAGTACAAATGGATTTTCATCTGAATAAGACAAGTTTAAAGGGCATTATCTGTATGAGGTGATGGACTAGCTGGTTTTCATCTGCTTCTATCATTGCTATACAAATAATACTCTAACATTTAATGTCATATTTAGGTTTATATGAATGAAAATATTCAGATTTATAAAAGAATTCAAAGTGAGGCTTGTCTTTTAAGCCTTAAGGGCCATTCCCACTGGAGTTTATCTGAGCTAACGTAATCAGTTCCATGTGTCGACTATGCCTTTAGTTCAGAGTTTTCAACTTGCTGCACTATGGGGAAAAACTGGTTTTGGGGATGAGTCAGCTACATCAGCTGTGTCCGTTAACTTGGATAAACCCCAGTGAGAGCGGCTCTTAAGGCTCCTAAAATCATCTTATTATTTATCATATACATAATATAAAAATATCTTCATAAAAAAAGGAAAATGAATATTGATATTTCCTAAAAGAGCCCTCTGCATAGCCAACGAACTATCTTAATTGGTCGACAATTTGAAATGAAACATCTGAGTTTCACTGATGGAGAAGGGTTTAGTAAAATGAATCTCTTGTCTGGAGAGACTGTTATGGAGCAAATATAAACAACAAACTATTAAGCTACTTTAAGTTAACATGGCTGATCACATGTTTATGTCACATTTATGTAATCTAGATCATCTATCCAGGGATTTTATATTTCCCTTCCTCAAAAAAAAAAAAGAGAGAGAGAGAGAGAGAACGAGGAAACATCATGCCATATTATATATGAGTGTGATGAACTTGCCGTAACTCTCCTGACTACTTTAGGTATTCTCAGTACTAAAGAGTTACACCTGAGCTCTATTAAGGGGCTGTCAGACTTTATGAACAAAGTAGGCAACCCAAACAAATAGAGATAGGAAGCATTGGGTTTGGTGCTATTTGGCACAAAATACTATTTAGCAGAGGTGCTTGATAACTGACAACTTGCTTGATAATTCAACTTAAAGAAGAAGACAAAGTATTCAAAAGATAAGTCCATCTTTGAAACATTCTGAAGAGTAATATTTTGTTATTTCCTGATGTTTAAATATTTACAAACTGAGAAATAAACTTTTTATGATCCTTGTGTCGTTTTAGGACAGACCTTTTAAATTAATTATTTATTTATTAAGAAATCTACCAAATTAAATTAGTTATTATGACATATTCTCTTTTAATCCACACAGACTTTAATAATTTAACCTGCACATATTATGCACTAACTGTTCTTTTTTTTTTTTTTTTTTTTTTTTTTTGAGTTCATGATCAAACCGTATATTTTCTTCATGTTTGGTCTCCTTTGATGAAAACACTACTGCGAAAATACTACTTATCTGGCATCTAGCAAGCAGTCAATAATTCATCAAAAAATATTCAGCTTTCCTTACAAATAGTAATCTGTTAAAATTATTTTTATATCTCTTGTTTATTAATCCACTTTTTAAAATGATTCAATTTCCTTTTGGAAAATGTCAAGCAGTAAAGCATATAACTCTAAATAGATTGAGATTTTGTTGCACTATTGTTTCAGAGGGGTTTGGAAAAACTTCATTGTTGAATCCGTCTTTGGTTAAATACCAGAGAAGGATTCGACTATCTCTAATGTTTTCTGCTTGTAAGTCTTCTGATGTAAAATACTTAACATGTATGCTTTGAAATTATTTCTAACTAACTGCTGCACAGCTATATCACCTCTCATCATGTCTAGTACATCAGTTATATATATATGTCAGTTTTCTGAAATGTGATAAAAGTATATACAGTACAAAGTCCGTAATCCGTACGTCCATTATCTGGAATGATCTATAATCCGGACCTCAAAGCCACAAACTTATGCATGCATGTAAAGCGTTTACGCATGTGCGTTTAATGTGCGTGTCCACTACGCATTCGCATAAAGCGTTTACCGATGCGCGCTTCTGATAGTGAAGAAAGTGACAGAGAGATTATTGAAAATGAAAAAAATTTGATTGACAAGTTAATCGGTATTCTCGACACAGCAATTACAGGGCTTGAACAGTGGAACTTTGCAACTGAACAAGAAATTATGTCTGTTTATAGAATTAAAGAGAAAGTATTAGCACAAAAAACGAAGCAACTTAAACAACTTACATTGAAAGAAATGTTTAATAAAGTAAACAAATAAATATTAAGCTTTTTTTTTTTTTTTTTTTGTAAAATTTGATACTCTTTAGATCATAATTGCTCTTTATTTCATAAATTACGGTTTCATATTTTTAATTGTATAATTTCTGCATGCCGTCTTACCAGATTTAAATTGATGATCTATAATCTGGAAAAAACCCTAATCCGGCATTCCCAAAGTCCCGGCGAGTCCGGATTACAAACTTTGTACTGTATTTTGTTTTAACATTATGCTTAATATTATGTTAATGTTTATTATGTTGTTTTGAAGCTTGATTTTCATTATGAATAGGTTTTCTGAAAATGCAATATTATTTATTTACAATGTTGTGTTCACTATTTTATTGCTGACTAATATGTTAGAATACATGCATAATCTACTGAAACTACTAAAACTGGCATTTTAATATTTCGTTAGAAATTTTGCTTCTGGTTTTGGAACTTAGTAACATGTCAAATAACAGTTTTAGTCCATAATGCAATTTTAATTGATGTAATCTATTGCTGAATGTGAACACTTAAAGTAATTGACTTATCACATTTCAGAGCTCATTATTTTTGTACACTGAATAGAGATGACATTAAGAAAGAGGGGAAATATATATTGGTACTCTTCTGTTATCAGGACCGAATTCAGAAATGTACATATGTATGCATGTCTGTCTGTATGTGTGTATATGGGTCTATGTGTGTTACTCACACATAATGTACATAAATACATACATCTTTTACATACATGCATACATACATTCATTTCTAAATCTGGTCCCGATAACAAAAGAGTACCTATATATCTAAAGTATAAAAGAATGAAAGAAAATTGATTTTAAAAAGATCTGAAAATTATTGGGTTTTTTTTTTTTTTTTTTTTTAACTTACTGATTCATTCTTATTTTTCACCACCATTTTGATCATTTAATAAAATTAGCATCTTTAAATTTTATTTCTATATTATTATGCTAAGATGCATTTAGATAGATTCTTCTTAATGATTTGTGGGAATGTTGTTTAAATTATTTTGAAATTAAAAAAAAGTGGCAAACAATTTTTTTTAATAATTTTTAACTAAAGTATTTCACCTCACATTACTAAATATAGTTTTATAAATCAACTTTTGTTGGAGGCTAGTGAATGTTAAATTTAATTTGTCTGTCTTTAAATGAAATTCATTTATAATTGGTTAAATAATTACCATCATATTAATATTATGATGTTAACTTTTAGGGTTTTAGATGTGCTGAAGTAAAATTTTTTGCTTTAAAATTGTCTGTTTATTAGTGGGTAGATGTAGCATGACGACTTGGTTGTTATTTGTACAAATAATTAGGTATTTGGATAAAAAAATTGCGACTGTACTTTTAAACCGTCTGAGTGATACGGCTTTTAGGATTTATGCATGAAGAATAGTATTCAAATAGCTTCTATTAGCTAAATTTTTATAATTTTAGTCTCTGTTTTCAAAAGCTTCTATTCATTAAAATAATATTTATTTCATTAAAGAAAGTAAGAAGATAAAATCATTTAAATTATAATCTAATACATATTTACAAGAAAACTTATGATCAAATAGAGGTGGTTATGCTACTCAAAGCATTAATGAATATTATTTCGTTATTTCTGTACTTACTGAGAATACGTAGATCTTGTGTATGTGTAATACTGGATCCACATTGAATATTAGATGCCTTATAGTCTATCTCATTACCTAATGCTTTTGCAATGTAATGTGGTCAGATAGCTTACATTTCACTTTCAGTGCTAGATCTGAAATATATTTATGTGCTATGTAAGCTAAATTCTAATTCTGTTAAGGGAAAAAAAAAAGAGATGAGGTTTTCCATAGGGGATATATATGACAATAAAAAAATTGTTTTTTTTTTTTAATGTACTAAAATTAAAATGTTACTATGTTCCTTCTTAGGAACCTACAAACTAAATGTGAACCAATGCTGCTATGTATAATACAATATATATGTTTCTATATTTTTAGTTCAAACTTATTTCCACTGAAGTTGCATGAAGCTGCATATCACCGATAGTTTGTCCTGGGTTCTTTTTCCTGTGAATATACTGATTGCATGAAACATTCTTAGTTTTTTTTTTTTTTTTTTTTTTTTCCCCCCTTCCATTCGTAATTTCAGTGTGATCTGTTTCTTTAAAAAAGTTCACAAAGGCCTTTCTATTTTGGCAGATGTGCTTTGCATTAATTAAGATCAAACAATCAGTTGTTGAAATTGCAGATGTAATAAATAAAGCTATAAAAAGCGAAAATCTGTATTATTTGTTTCTAGATGTTGGAATGATAACTCTCTCACAGTACATTCTGCTTGATCCAATTTTGATGTTTTTTATAATTGGATCAGTTTTGGGCATGGTGAAGATAAAGTCTCATCATAACAGGTAATTTGTGTTTATTTATATTATTTTATGGAAAGCAATACAGAGTAATTTTTATCATTTTAAGTGAATACTTATTAAAACACATTTATGTTTTTATTACTTTTCATTTTTTTATTTATTTTATATAAAGAGGAAGAAAAATTATTTATTCTATTAATAAAATTTAAGTGTTTTAATAGCTTTACTTTTATTACCATTTGTTTTATGTTTGGTTAAAAAATTATCTGCAATTTTAATATAATTTATCTACAATTTTAATGTCTGTTTCATGTCTATAATGTCATATTTTTTCCTTGGTCCCTAGTCTTTAACTGACGAAAGGTTTCATTCTGATTTTGTAATAGTTGAAGATGCACATTTATCTACAGTCAAAAGTCGTTAATCCGGACTCGTCGAGACTTCGGCGATTCCGGATTATCTATTTTTCCTGATTATAGATCATCAATTTAAATCTCGTAAGATGCCATGCAGAAATTCTAAAATTAAAAATATGAAACCGTAATGTATGAAACAAAGACCAATTATGATTTAAAGGGTATCAAAATTTACAAAAAAAAAAAAAAAAAAAAAAAGCTTAATATTTATTTGTTTACTTTATTAAACATTTCTTTTAATGTAAGTTGTTTAAGTTGCTTCGTTTTATGTGATAATACTTTCTCTTTAATTCTATAAACAGACATACTTTCTGTTCAGTTACAAAGTTCCGCTGTTCAACTCCCATAATTGCTGTGTCGAAATACCGACTAACTTGTCAATCGAAATTTTCGTTTCACCCCCCCCCCCCCCCCCCCCCCCCCCCCCCCCCCCCCCCCCCCCCCCCCCCCCCCCCCCCCCTCCCCCCCCCCCCCCCCCCCCCAACCTCTCTGTCACCTTCTTCATGTCTTTATCCATTTTTTGCAGCAATTCCACTTTTTGTTTGATGGACATCGAAACATACTTTCGTTTTGTAGATCCTTTGGGAGGAGCTCCAGCATCGGAAATTCTATTTGACATAATCGAAAGTTCAAGTTTACTTTCATAAAATTGCTCTTACAGTCTGCAAAAAATAATAAAGCCGGATCCAATTCGAAGATTAAGGAACAACGCAATCATCAACATTAACTGAAATAGATAATTAGATAATTTTAGCTTATACCGTCTGTTATACATTAAACACGCACGCGAAAACGTATTCTGCACTTGCGCACACGCATATGCACAGTCGTAAAGGTCTTACGCACAAGCGTAAATGCCTATGTGCATGTGTCAATGCAGCGCATGCACAGAAAGTTTTTAGCTTTGAGGTTCGGATTATGGGTGTCCGAATTAACGACGTTTTACTGTATTACATTCTGCTGTTTGGAGGACTTGGAAGAAAAAAAAAAAGTTGTATCCCATTTGAAAAATGTGTAGAAAATATGCATGAAATTTAAAGGGAAAAAAAAAAATCAGGAATATTTTAAGAATGTATTTAAAAAATATGTGTTTTTTTTAACTTAATAAAAGTTAAAAATATATATATGTGTGTGTTTACAAACATTTGATATCTTAAATGTAAAGATATTTTTAGTAATAAATTACCAAATTTTGTTTTTAGGCCTTTTAGTGTTATGTGGTGGTTTTGGCTATCGTGGACAGGAATATTCATGGCTTGTTCAATCAGGTGAGATGCACCGTAAAATTGTAAATCTTATTCTTTTGTTGTTAATGAATGGTTCTTTTAAATACAAATTTTAAAATGACTGTTTTCTGTTTGAAGTGTGAAATTTGTTGGCCTTTTTGTTGTTCTTCTTGTGGGAATTCATACTTTGACAGATCTATGGATTATCTGGGGAAACTTGAATATTCCTATAGTAAGTGTAGAGTTTTGTCTTTATTTTGTAAATATTTATAGTTACTTGTACTTTTATCTAACATTGGGAGAGGATTGAAAGATATTTGATTGTGAGGAATAATTTATCATTCTTGTGTTTTAAATATAGAATGTAGAATTAAAAAATATGGGTACTTTCTGATTATTTGTACCCCTGGTTTCAGCTTTGAGAACTGGCATGGTTTTGTATATTTTCAGTTATACATGGAATAATAGCTAACTCATGCATGCAGTTACAACACATGTTTCAAAGCACATAGATTTATATTCTTTATATTGAACAGTCACTTCACTGATCAGGGCATTTTGCTGTAAGAATTTAAATACTAGCTACATATATTTTTGTTTTTACTCATAAAATTTCATGTCTTATAAATTATTCTTTTTTATTATTATTGTTTATGAACAGAAAAGTGCCTATGAGCTGCAAAGATAGACAAGTGCACAATTTTTGTTCAATCATCTAATCAGCAACGAGTTAGTGATTTTTTATATAGAGTATGAATAATGAAGCAGTATAAAATAATTAAATAAAGGAAAAATAAATTCTTTTAATATCTTACTAATTTCAGTTGAATTTTTAAGTACTAATGTTAAAACTGAAAAGATATATTTTTATAAATCAAGGATGAAATGTAAGTTTTGTATTGTATTTTAACAAAGGTTTGTATTTTATCAAAACTAGTATTTTCTTTGACTTCATTGACAATATTGTTACATGTTGTCACATTGTTACATTTCTTCCAAAATAACCCCCTTTTTTGTTACAGTTTTATTCTAAAATTTGATAGGGTCTTATAATTGGGTACTTTAATAAATTAAATTATAAAATGAGAAGAAGAAGCTTACTTACCATATGTACTAACTAAAGTATTTAAGTACTAAATAAAGCACTCAAGTAATTACCGCATATATATACTGAATTACTATTAATAGCTACATCTGGTTGAGCAATTTTCAGTTTTGACCTGCACCCTTTATACTGATTCCTAGTATGCTTGAAACCAAATATGATATGCTGTAATGTATCATTAATTTTTTTCTAACTTTTCTTTCTTAACCATAATAAAATATTGTATTAATTAGGTAGTTTGTTTCTAATAAAAAAGAAATAAATTCTCATCAAATATTCACCTCCATTCCCCCCCTCCTCTTAAAATGCACCATGATCATTTTAAATACATCTGTGACTTTAAGGTATTGGTAAATCGTGCAAAATAAATATAAATTGAATATTATCCTGGTCTACCTTTTGCTGTAATGACAACTGCTTCTCCCTTTACTACTTTTCAGCTCAATAAATTTTGGTAAACTGTTCAAAAATTGTCTATTCTTCTACTATAAATTTGAAAAAAAAAAAAAAAAACTGCATTTTTAGATGAATTATACGCCAAAAATAAAGTATATGTAGAGGGTCAAAAATTGTAATTACCTCTATAATATTGGTGGTTTTCACTCATGCATGTGTGAATTAATTTTACATAAATTACCCCTATACTGTTGGCTTTTTTCACATAAATACAGTAAAAGCTTGGGAAATGCGGAATTTCGGATATTGAGCGTGTTAAAAAATGCAATTCATATTAGTGAAAGCCAGATGAATAAGGGGGGATTCTGTTCTAAATTTATAAGAAAAGTCATTTATTTATTATCAGCTTAAATATAAAAAACTTACATATAAATTGTTTAAGATTTCAAAAGAAAAGAGGCATTCCCAGACATAAACGCCCAAGTGAACATATTCGATTACAGAATTCCAGGAACCACGAAAATTTGTGAAGATCTCGCCAAACTTGCAGCAGTCTTCTAGTAGAAGTTTGAAAGAAAGATCACTGTTTCTTTAGTTAAAATATATACACAACGTATGGAGTTGGCATATGAAAAACTTTAATTGTTCATACCCCAATTTTTTTTTTTTTTTTAATCAAAATGTGATTGGAAAATATAAACCGCAGTTAACTTCTATTGTTTTTCAGAAATATCAAACTGACTTATCGAGTGTTATTCTGGTTTACATAAAGTACATAAAGCCAAAGCATTACATCATGCTTTTCTATAATTGGCTTTAAATCACACCATTTGGCAACAGTTTTTGTTTGATTTGAATTGTAGTCCTAATCATGCTTTATAACAGATTTATTAATCTTTTGTTTGCTTAATTTTACGTAAAACAATTCTAAAACTTGGAAATATTCCAGTTATTTGAGATTTCCGGTTAGTTAAGTGTGTATTGTATTTCATATTGTATTCAACTTAGTATGGTATATTTTTAAACAATATGTTTAAATTTATTAGCTAAAATATTTCTCCCACTTTGCATTTTTCACTTTTTAGTAACAATTGTGAACCTGCTTTTCTTTTTTTATACCTATATGAGTTCATGTTAAGATGTAAGTGAAAGAACCCACTACCTCCTGGGATATTCAGATACTTCTGATAATTTAATATGCATTGAATGAAAGGATGATTTGAGCTTTGTTTTCATCAGACTTGCTTGCAGTTCTAATGTGAAATTTATTCATAAAAACATTGTTTTTTATATGTATGTTTTTTAAGATTTAAATAATTGGCTTGTTTTTAACATTTGTATAGCAGAATTAATTATTTAAAAAAAAAATTGTTTTTCAGGTACAAGTTTTAAAACATTTTGCTGCACGTGTACTTTGCCTTATTTTGATTCCTGCTGTTCTGTATATAACATTTTTCTATATTCATTTGAAGACTCTGTATAAAAGGTTTGTTACTTAATCAGAATGTATTTCTTGTCTAATATATCATTAATAAGATCTGAATTGTCTATAAATATAATAAATTTATAAGTATAGCCACTGTCTATATTGCTGAAATGTTTAATTAATAGCTTTGAATCAAGGCCTCACCAGGGGCCAAATGGTTAAGACTGCTGAATACTGAAAATTCAATCGGGGTTCGATCCCAGGCAAACAAGCTCTGCTTGATTGGTTTCTGTGGTTCTTTGTATTTCTAACATGAATATAGGCAAGTTTTTCTTAAAAGCCTTCCTTGAAGGCATCCCTTCTTTTAAGCAGATAGCTCTTTTATGCTTTGCCTTATTTAATTAATCTAACATAACAAGTTTGAATGGAACAAAAAGGAAAAAGTAATGAAAGTTTTCAACTGATAAAAATAATTTGTAAAAAAAAAAGGGGGAGGGGTAAGAGTGAATAGAAAGAAAATTTGCAGCAAAGTTAACATTCAGGCTGTGTTTTATTTATATATGAAAAATTCTACTAAAATTTTCAAATACTTATAATTTATTTTGAATGTACTGTTTTGGATATGTCTGCTTTCCTTCTGAAGATAATGTGCTATGCTCTGTATTATTGCTTATAGACGATTTTCTCTTATTATTTTCTGTATTTGACAGTTTTATCATACATAAAAATGATTAATGTAAAAAAATAGATATTAAGTTATAAAATAAACTCAGTGGTGCAACAGCCCTAGTAGGCACAGCCTGCAGTGCCCTTTTTGTGCTTTCTTGACCTTTGGGCCCCAGAGTGCATCAGCATATGCCCTGGGCTTGTGATCAACTTGTCCCAGGACGCCCAGGTGCTTAGTCCCCAAGCGAACTTGATACTCATTTAATCAACCCACTTAATGTATAAAAGGCTGAGTCAACTTTGCTCACCCCAGGGATCGAACCAGTGGTATAACTGCACAACACACTAATCACTTCGCCACCGAGCGGTCAAGTTATAAAATAAGTTAAACAAAATATGAAATTGCATCATCATCAGTTTTATTTCTGACATCAGAGAGAAAATTTTATTCTCACTGTCATTACTGTTTTCATCTAATATTCCAAAACAGAATTGGAACGTGATGGTATAAAAAATATGAAATTAACATTAATAAACAATATAACAAGTGCATTTTGTTAGGTTCTATTTTTAGCCTCAGAAAAGTAAATTTCATTCTCACTACCACTGCTTTTTTCACAAGGGATATTCCCAAAATAGAGTAAAGATTTATGACTGGCATCTTCATTTATAATTTATAAATGTTTTTATCTAATATGGAAACTAAAATTGAGATGCATATTTAATGTATTTTTATTCAAAAGCCTACAACCTCAAAGGTTAACTAAGCTTATCAATGTGTGAATTAATATGTAATCTGTGTGAGTTTCAATTTTAGCTATAATAGCAGCATCTGAGCATCCATCATTCCAAAGGTTATATATACTACATGAGTGATGCTGCAGTGACTGCATTGGCTCAATATCTGAAGCTGTTGTTTTGATTATCCTCAAAATTTTTTGCATACTATGGTAATCTTAATTTTAATGTGGTTTGGTGAAAGATAATTTTTTGGTGAATCATATTAAACCAATGCTGAAATAGTATCAATATTTTTCATGGTTGAATTTATCCACTAATAGCTGCTAATAAGTGATATTTGCTTTAGGTTCTCTTCCTGAGTGAGTAAGTGCACTGCTGTAATGGCTTCCAACCGTGGACGTAAACCAAACAGAATTATATACCATCACAGCATGGAAATCTTCAAAGTCACAATGTTGAATATTATGTGCTAAAAGCAGTTTTGATGTTTTACAAAGTCTTTCTTGTCCAAAATTGGTTCATATCAATAATCGAACTGAGTAACTGAAGCAATTGCTCAGATTTATACTTCTTGCTGTATGAAAGCAAGCTTTACTATTCTATCATAAACTTATCAGTAGTTTGGAAATTATTTAACTTGATAACTGCAGACTCCAAGCGTTATCCTGATTATCTGCTTTAAATTCTGATCATTTCAAACATAATATTATTCACGGTGTTTCTGCTTACGCTGTGTCTTGAGATTCTCTCTCTCTTCCTGGATATTGAATGGATTAATTGCATAAATTTTGCTTAATTTCCATATTTATAATATACATGAAAGCCAGGTCTCCATGAAAACATAGTTGCCAAGGGTGTAAACCTTGTGCTAAAATAATCTAATTCAGCCATATACTAAATAAAAATTGCTCTAAAAATGATACTGTAATCTAATAGAAGACCTTAAAAATTATCTAATAGGAAAGGGAAAATGAAGGTATTGAAGAAAAGTATATCAAACTATAAAACAGTTGCTGGCTACCTCAGAATGTAATATTTTGAAAAAATTTCCTGTTTTTCTATTACATGTCATACTGTGTTCTTTATTAATGAAATAACAGAGTATTTTCATTGTATAATCATAGATCATGTCTAGATTTGGCCCATTATTTTTCACTTTACAAAAATATTAAGACCACAGACAAGTATAGTTTTTTAAATTTCCTAAGCATTGAAATTTAGAAAGTAGAAATTTTATTTAAACTGCATTATTGAAATAGAACCAATTTATCCTAGTTATTATGGTTATCCTATCTGAGGAAAAAGGTCTAGGGCAAATTTATGATGTTGTAATATTCAAAGTGAAAATTAATTGTAGTACATATACATATAAAGTTTTTTAGATATATACAGTTGATGCTCATTATAATGATTTGTTGCTGGAATCGCATGGAAAGCAGGCATTTTTAATGAGTGATTGCTATAGCAAAAATGAATTTAATATATTCTCATCAACTGGGTTTTGTACTGGTTGTTGGAGTGGAATATTTGCTGTAATGAATGGTAATTATAAGCAAGCATTGACTGTGTGTATGTATATGTATGTATTTGTATTCTTGCAACTGGTGATCTGTGGGATTGTACCTGTAACAAAAGGTACCTGTCTTGTATTTGCCTTTAGTTATGAATATGAATGATATGATACACCCTCTTGATAATAAATCATCAGATGAAATTTGTTGATCCTTCTATGGTGCCAACATTCAGACAATAGAATGTGCATAGATTCATCTTAAACAAATAATTCTATTGGATATGAGGGAAACAGCACCCATGGTGCTGCCCTATCACTGTTCTGAATTATGGAGGTGATGTGTCAGCAATGGAGACAAAAGTCTAACCATGCTGAATCAGGACAATGTTTATATGAATGAAAAATAGGGAGTGCTCTCAGTGTTGTTTTATACCTGATTATTAGTGGTACAGTGATGATGGTTGACAAGTATAAAAGAGGACTTTTTCAGTTGGTAACTGATAATTCCAAATGGGATTACTTGAACTGCTTTTAAGTACAGGGATAATGGAGAATTGTGATAGGTCCTTAGTACAGTAATGTTATCAGTTTTTTGGCTTTCATTATGGTTCACAGGCAATAGGTCAACAGAGCATGTGTTGCAAGAATACCAATGTATGTATTATGTGTAAATATAAAGATACATGGATATACATACTAATATCTACCTCACCCTAAAATGAAATTAAAATTAATGATGATTATGCTAATATTGAAATAAGATGTTAAGTTTTCATTACAAAATATTTAAGTAAAAAACCATGTGATATATTTATATTTTTTGTCTTTTGTTATCAGCAAGAGTTATTGTGCTGTTTTATTAATCGCAGACTGAGAATTGGAACAAATGCTCATTAGTAAATTAGAAATCATTTTATGAGATACTTGAAAAATTACTTAAAATTGAACAATGATTATTTACTGATCAATTGATTTACATCAAGCATTTTTAGATATTAAATGGGATTAAGATTTTGGTCTGGTATTATTATTGTTGCGTTTTACGGGTTCATGGATTTGGAGTCATTGATGACAACACTTGCTGAAGAATCAAAGTGCAATTTGTTCTTCAGTATTACACAGGACAGTTTCAAAGACATGTTACAGTCTTCAAAAAACTGTGACAAACATGCTGAAACAATCAGCAACACAGCTTTTAGACTATCAGGCTATATAATGATGAGGAAAACTTCACAGCAAAGCACTAAAATACAGCAATTGAGCTAATCTCTGAACTCAAGTTGCTACTACTGAACTCAACGTACTCTCCCGAATTCAAGATACTCTCCTACTATGCATATAGGCATGGTATATATAGCATGGCCTGTCTTCAAGAACATTGCGGGGAAGCTATTAAAGTATTTCTATGCTTTATAATATTTAAAATAAAAATACAGAATATTTTAATGCTAATACTGGGTTAATTAATTAAAAATTAAATTAATTCTTCTTTCTGAATGAAAAATTGATTCTTTCTTTGTAGTGAAACCAATTCACTTTGTTAAAATGAAATGAATTTTCTATAGTAGATTATTTATACTTCTGCAAACTGCGTAGTTAAAATGAGTTAAATATTTGTATTTTTAGTGGTTCTGGAGATGGATTTTTTAGTTCTGCTTTCCAGTCTCAACTTGAAGGCAATTCATTATATCATGCTCATATGCCTAGAGGTAATAAATATTTACTCATAACTGGTTTGGGTTATTAAGTGTTTCATACATAATAGTTTTAAAAATTAAATCATTTTTGTGCATAGCCTTAGTTTGGATTTATATTTGTTTTGAATCTTTGTATTAGTCTTAAATGTGCATTTTCTTAAAAAACAAATTGTGTCAGATTGATTGTATTTGAAATCTCCAATATATGTTTAGGTGAGGATTAATTTCTTTACTGCATTTTTTTTAGTTATGATAATATGTGGCATATGTTTCTTGAAGGATTTGTGATTAATAACATAACATTTTAAACTTTTGAAGATGACTAACATGCAAGAAAATTTAATATTACTTGCCCTAAGGTAGGTGTGTGCAAAAATGTTCACTATAAAATCTTTTTAAAAAATCTGTATATGTGTGGAAGTTAAAGCATGAAGTGTGGTCACTTCTAGACAGTTGATGCAACCAAAGCTCAGCATATACATTTTATCATTATTTTGGGCTTTGCTTTAGTTAGGCATTTCTTGGTTTGTTATAGAGAAACTGGCTAAAGTTAGAAATCATCTGTAATCATATTATTTTATTCATCATATTATTTTAATGATTTTCTTATACATCTGATGATTTTGTCAAGTGAAAAATACTTTTGCTGTTTGTGTGTGTTTTAAAGCTACATTTTTATCATAATAGCTTTATTAGTACATAATTAGAAATTTCAGTGATAATGTTTTTTGTGTTGCAGATATAGAACAAAATAGATAAATAACAGTGCATTTCTGATAGATCTAAAATTAGTTAAAACAGGTAAACAATGATTTTTTTAATACTAGGAAGTGTTTGACACCAAAAGCATCTTTAACAAATAAAAATCGCTTCGCTGACTGCTTATTTATTCATTTTTATTCAAATTCACTGTTTTCATGTTTCTCAAAAGTCTTTAGAAGAGATTAATATTTGGGTAGATGACCACCTGCTCTTCTATCCCTTGCTATATGGACTTGCATATTTTCATAATTTTTATCAAGTTCCTTATGTAGAATTACTTCGCAGTTTACTGAAGAGCACTTTTGGCTCTGCCCCAGTATAACCACAAATCTGTCAACACATTAGTGCATTCTAGATTTTGATATATTTATTATGCACTTGCTTTAAGCAGAGATTGCCACAGCAACAATAAATAAGTGACTATTGGCTGTGATAGTTGACCATAGGTTTCATAGTTTGATTTCAACAATCTATCTAAGTTTATCGCTTTTCCCCATACCAGTGATCCATAGTTTAACTACCAGTATTAATAGTTTATTAGTGACCAATTGCTTTGCAGGTGGTAATTGCCCTTCATTTAAATTTTGCTTAAAAAAGAATTTCTCAAAATGTAATACACTGCACCATACTTGTTATGAATAGGTTAACTGCAAGTGACTTTAACCTAATGGTGAGTAGTGACCAACAGCCTTTGATTAGTGCCAGTGTGCTTTTGTTTAGAATTTTTAATTTAAAAATCATTTTAAGTTCCTTGCATTGCTCACGTCATTGAAATATAGGTTGATCATTCTTGACAATAAACCAAGTTGTCAGTGACCAACAATTTTAATCAACACTTGTCTACTTAAATTTTAATATAAAAGTATCTTTAAAATTGTTGCATGTGCCTATACTGGTGACTTGACTACCACAGACTATGAAACTTGTGGTGCCCATGAGCTCTGAGTCATTTGGATGCTTTGGTTAAATTTTAGTTTAGAAAGTAGTCTAAATTTGCTGCGTTATGTCATATTGTGAGAGAGTGTCAATTTGTTAGACACTGGTGATTAACCTTGAGGAATGCAAGAAGCCTTTGATTTAATTTTAAAATTTATTTAAATTTGCTGCACAACCTTAACTCTTTTAAGACCAAAACACTCCAGATGCCTCTTCAATCAAACAACTACCCAAAACGACCGAAATTCCAATGTCCATTTATTCCCTCTCCCTAAGGTATGCTGTGGCAGGTGCAGTTTCCACAAATGCATTGCATCAGTTTATTGCAGACAGCTTGTCTTAAAGGGATTTATTCTTATCTTCATTTGTTAGGAAGTAGAAAGGATGTCATTTTAAATCTTCACACCTCTTTGTGTATTAATGGATAGGTAGGAGAGAAAATTGCTGTGAATGTCGAAAGGTGTTTTAGGCGCTTCAGTATTTTAAGCGTACTGGTTAGCAAAAGCTTCAGTTTTCAAAGAGTTAAAATGTAGGCTTTTGTTTCACTGGTGATCTATAGGAATGTGATCGGTGGTTTGGGACAAAGCAGTACTTTTTAAACCAGCCTTTATCCCAATTCCACATTGCAAAACTAGTTATAAGTATGTAAAACATAATGTAATGTAGTTTTTGAAAATTTTTAGAAAGATTTCACTAAGGCCCTTTCTAATGTTAATGTGATAAGATCATCATTTATTTGTCTGTTTTATGTTATTTTTATACCTTTGGAAAGTACAAATTTATTTACATCTTATTATATTTTATATTCAAGACATTGATAAATCATCAATAGAGATTTCTAATTCTGGACTAATAAAGGTACAAATGATTAAAATGTAACTTAAATTTCGCCATTGAATAGCAAATTTAGCTTTCATCTGTCAGGAACTTCTTTTTCTTAAAAAATCATTAAAATTTTAATAAAGGTAATTTCTAATTTAATAAATAAATTTGATTCTAATTTATGAAGTCTAACTAATGAATTCTAATTTCTAATTTAATAAATAATGATTTGAAATGATCTCTGTTCACTCAAGGAGCTAGTCCTAGTGCAACCATAACAGGCTGCAGAATTTAGGAGCAAAAAATTTTGCAATCACAGGACAGCAGGAATTGCACTCGAAATTAAAGGTTTAATGATTGCTGTATCCTTGAATAATGCTCCTTAATCAACACCTCCCTAATTAATTACTTAAGTAATTTTATAAGAGTTATGCTGTTTCTGCAATGGACGTAAGCCTAAAAATTCACTTATTTCAGGTATGAACAATCCAATTAAAATGTTTTACTTCTGATTTACAAGAATAAGGAAATATTGTTTTTATTTCTAATGCATTGCATGAAAGCTAAGCACAAAAATGCACAATAGTAAATTTGTGATAAAATATGCATTAAATATTTAAATTGGGAGGAAGTAAAACTTATTGTATTAAACTAAATATTAAAATCTTTTTATTTATTTTTTAAACATTTTCTTCCTGAATAAAACCTAACCATCAGTACAAAATTCTGTGGCTAATATTTGCAATATTTCTTGATCATTTCTGTGTGAGTAAAATTATCTCTGCAAATACTATTTGCATTACAGTTAATGGTTTTCTGTATTAATCTTAGACATCTCATGACATGCAGAGAATGTTTCATGTCTGCTTATTCGTAATGTAATTTAGAAAATATCTATAGATAATAAAACATAAACCCTTGTTATACTGAAATAAGCCTTTTTCAGAATTTTGATTAATTTTGATTAATTGCATTTATGATGTTTTATTGTTTTATAATTATTTTTGAATGAAATGTTCTTGTATAAAGACATTTTAATTTTTTTATTTTTTTATTTTTATTGTATGAATTATTAAAATTCTATATCAGTCAGTTCTTTTTGTAGATGCATTAATAATAAATTATCAGCCTGTTGTTATCCTAAAGTATATTAGTCCTGAATAGGATATGAGTCTCAATGCAGCATTTTCCATTGAATCACAATAAACAGTACAGTACAAAATCTTTAATCCTCCATAATCAGGATTGATCTATAATCCGGACCTCAAAGCTACAAACTTTCTGCGCATGCGTTTTCGCATGCGCATAATACGTTTATGCATGCACATTTAATGTATAACGAACGGTATAAGCTAAGCTAAAATTATCTAATTATCTATTTCAGTTAATGTTGCAGATTGTGTTGTTCCTTAATCTTCTAATTGGATTATTTATTGCAGACTGTTAGAGCAATTTTATAAAAAGTAAGCTTGAACTTTCGATTATGTCAAACAGAGTTTCCAATTCTGGAGCTGCCAAAAGATCTACGAAGCGAAAGCATGTTTCGATGTACTGCTTCCAATAGTGAAGAAAGTGACAGAGAGGTTATTGAGAACGAAAAAATTTCTATTGACAAATTAGTCGGTATTCTTGACACAGCAATTACAGGACTTGAACAGCGGAACTTTGTAACAGAACAAGAAATTATGTCTATTTATAAAATTAAAGAGAAAGTATTAGGACATAAAACAAAGCAACTTACATTGAAAGAAATGTTTAATAAAGTAAACAAATAAATATTAAGCTTTTTTTTTTTTTTTTTTTTTTTTTGTAAATTTTGATACCCTTTAGATCATAATTGCTCCTTATTTCATAAATTACGGTTTCATATTTTTAATTTTATAATTTCTGCATGCCATCTTACCAGATTTAAATTGATGATCTATAATCCAGAAAAACCCTAATCCAGAATCGCCGAAGTCCCGCCGAGTCCGGATTAAAGACTTTGTACTGTATATCATTTTTCAGATTATTGCTACCATATATTATCACTCTGTATTATATTTAAAGAAATTAAATTATGAAGAATCTGCATGAATATATGCATGTTTCTCACATTGTGAGAAAACAACGGTACCTAGAGTCATCAAATTTTGAATAACGTAGTCCTCCACCCGAACATGGTACCTCAAAGCCTGAATTTTGAATTTGTTTTATTATCTGTTTCATATTTTGTAAAACATTAATGAATTTTTGACTAACAAACTTTATGATTTCAAAATGAGCAGTGGCAATACTGTACGGAAAAAAAAAAAAAAAAAAAACATTTTCCCCCCCAGTGTGCAAGACTCTGTATTGGAAATTCTAAAGATATGCTGGTTTTAAATATTTTGTGATTTTGGTGTTGAACTGAATTTTGTGAGGCATAATTGCCAAGAATGTGATATTTAATTAATAAAATAAACGCACAAAACGTAATTAATAAAAGGACAAAAAGTTTTGTAGAACCAGAAAAGAAAGAAGTTTTGTAGAAAAAAAACTGAAAATTGATGTGATGAACTGAACAAAAGACTGAAAATGACAGAAAAATGTACACCAACACTTAACACTGCATCAGGAATTCTAAACGTATACTTCTATGCTGCTTTTAAAATTTAGCTGTTGAATTAAATATGGTGTAAGTGCAAAGAAAATTATGCTTGATAATATAGCCTAAAAAGGGGAAAAAAAAAAAAAAAAAGGTAGTAGGAGTGAGTGTAACAACAGACTGGTAGACTGCGAACTCAGTGAGAACATAAAAACCTTAACAAATCCTTTTGAATGAGTTTTAAAACTGGACCCTTTCATATTTTTATTTATTTATTTATTTTAAAGATGTAGCTTATGGTGCAATTGTGACTTTAAAAAATCACAGAACCGGAGGTGGTTATCTTCATTCACATTGGCATCTCTATCCAGAAGGGATTGGAGCAAGACAACAGCAGGTGAATTTCTATGACTTTTAATATACTAGTTTGTATTTCAAAAGTAATAATATATGTTAAAAAATGCTTCATGAATAGTTTTAATTTATAAAAAACATTTTTATTTGCATCAGAAATTTTTGATTTGGTTGATTTTATATATCTTAATTTATATTTGTACATATTAATCCTTAATCAGATAAATGATTTAAATATTTACTTTAGCTAAATTTAGTTTTGTTTCCTTTGTAGGTTACAGCTTATTCTCATAAAGATGAAAATAATAAGTGGTTGATTAAGAAATTTGATTCTGAACCTGATTCTTCAGCAGAAGCTCCAGTAGAACTTGTTAAAAATGGAGATCTCATACGATTAGAACATGTAGTGTAAGCTGAGGCTATTCTTTTCCTGATATTTAGTCTTTAAATAAATTTTCACAGAAAAAGCTTCAGGGAGTGATGTTTGCTGTAGTTATTATAGTTTTTAGGCACTTTAATTATTGCATGAATTCAAGCATTTAATTTTTTTTTTTTAGTCCAAGCAAAATCAAAATGTGCTATCCTTTATACATTAAAATGCATATATGTTAAGTTTATCATTTTACTGAGTGTGAGTTGTGTATTTTCTGTACTGCATAATGTAATTGAATTACATCCACAAAAAGTGTCAACGCTTATAATAGGGAGATCACACATACAAAACTTAAAATCATAAAAATGTAATTAAAAGGTGACGTCTTAATTGTAACAAATTTACATTAAAGTGTAGCAAGAAAATTTAAAACTTACTAAATATTATATTTCAGTGATCTGAAGTCTGAAAAATCAAAGTAGCATTAGTTTTCTAAAATTTCTTTAGTTTATTGCTGTTTGCTTTTCATTTATTCCACATAGAAAATATAACTGGGAAAATATATAACCAGATGATTAATATGCATTTCAATCATCATTGCTCTGCAAGGAGCTTAAAATTTAATTCACAATAAAATTCAAGGAAATAAATAAACAAATAATTATTAATTAAATGTCTTTTATTGGTTTAATGTATATATATGTTATCAGCAAAGTATGAAACGATGACATTCTATTGAATGCCTAGGCATTGTATAGAATGTCAGCAGATGTTTTTAGGCAACGTTTCCCTAGGCATTCTATAGAATGACAAATGCTATTTAGGCAAAGTATGAAACACCGTCATTCTATAGTATATAAAATATGCCAATATATTGCATAAATCACCTTCCCCCTAGACAAAGTGAAGAATAGGAACTTGCACAGTAGTTCCCAAAGAAGAAGTAGGAAATTGTTTTTCTGAATTCATTTTCATTTTTTAGCTTGTATTTCCAGATTGATTTTAGAATTTATTTTACCTTCAGTAGAATTTTCAGTTTTGAAACAGAGTGCACAAAATATCTATTTCATCATCTTTACTAGAATGGCCACATAAGGTATGTATTTTTCGACAGCACATTTCACAAGCAAGTGCATCACTCGTTTCCTTTAAACACACATAAAAGGTATCAAAAATGGAATGTGGAAATATTGAATGAACTGAAATACGTGTGATATTTGAAATGAATCGGAGATGTATTTCATTGCTCTGCCGGTTTCTCATTTAGCATTTTATAGAATGCCTAGGAAATGTGTGAGATATTAATCGTTTCATACATTGCCAACTAGTTTTAGGCATTATATACTATGATGGATTTCAAACTTTGCAGGTAACATATGTGTAAGTTGTAAACTATTAAATTCACATATGATAATAAATCATCTGTCAGGAAATATGTATGTAAATACTTCATATTATTTTGATCAAAAAATTAAGCTATTATTGAATGATCTGTAGCAATGTTCTTCAAAATTTCGAAAAATCTTCTAAATATGAATTAGGTAATACAAACTGTATGTGTTAATATCTCGTGTTTGATTTTAATCTAAGAGATTTATTTGTAATTAATTTGCCTGCAGCTATGTTCTTCAGAATGTTCATTCAAGAATACCATAGCATTTCTTTTTAACTGTGGTACATATTGGATTGTATATTTCTGTATGCACTTTATAAAGCAGTTAAGCTTTAAGCTGAAACAGTGGAGCATTTTTTGAAAGTAAGTTTATGCATGTAAAAATAATTTAGATATCAAGTAAGTTATTGAGTGTCCAAAATTAATGATAGAATAATAGATATTATAAGGCCACGTGATAAGTAAATTACCACATGATAGACACTCTCTTCTTTACCGAGAAAGCCCAACAGTGGCCAAGGCGATAAGACTGCTGAATGCTGATAGTTCAACATAGAATAAAATTTCAGTGAATGGGCTCACTACATAGGCATTTTTGGTTTTTCTGCAAGCATAATGTAAATACAAGGCAATTTCCCTAAAAATGTCCTCCATGAAAACATCTCTTCTTTTATAGATATTCCTAGTGGACTTTTCTCTAGTTAAATCAACCAGTCTCTAATGATTTCCAAGACAATTATTTATTTTGATATTCTTAAGCTGCATGCTTTCTGTTGATAAAAACTAATTCTGTTCAATAAGAATAACAATAGAATACTGCTGCAATAAAATATTACTGTATCATGTGAGGAATTTGTGAAATGGAGATCCCTTGTGTTGGTATTGCATCTTTCTCAGGATGGAAGACATGATCCATAATGCACAAAAATGAATTCATCAATAGACTTGAAATTCTGGAAGCTAAGAGATGTACCCACGTATTGAGGTGAGCAGTATGCAGGAAGCAAATCATCCTAAGCAAAACCATCTGTGTTATCTGTTAGTGAATTTATGAGTCATTGAATGAAATAGCACTTTTCCCCCCTTTTTCCTTCTCAAACACTGGGAAGATATTTTGATCTATTAATTAGTGAATAACTTAGGATGTTCTGTAAATCATAGTGCCCCGTTGAAGGTATGGATTTGGATTATTTAAGTATGGCAAAGCACATGAGGGCTATCTGCCTAAAGGGAGGGATGCCTACGTGGAGGACTTTCTAAGGGAGACTGGCTCGTATACTTGTTACACATGAGGAAAACCACGTTGCAAAGGTATGATTTATTTTTCAATAAAATGCTCCATATGCTTTCAATAAAATGCTCTAGCTATATTGCTCAGGGCATGTAATTATATTAGATGTTAAACATAAGGAAGAACATATCCTTGTATTTTATTTAGAAATTTACTAATGCCATATGGCTTCAGAAATTTACTACAATTGATCTTTTATCCTTAAATGCTTGAATGGCAAAATCAAAAACTTAAATATATCTTTTCTCCATGTCCAGGACAAGACGAAATTTACACAGCCATAAAGAAGTAGCACCTATTACTAAACGACATCAGCAAGTATCATGCTATGGTGAAGTAAGTTAAAAATGTGTGTTTTTATTATTTTTTATCTTAACACTTTGATTTTATATTAAATTTAAGATTTAATAGTTAGGCAATTTTAATAATATTTTTTGTTTTCCTCTTTATCTGTACATATATATACACCGTGTCCATGAAAGTCCTTGCTAAGTCTTAATTTTGCAACCATTATTTATAGAAGATATAATTTATTTTGGCATTGTTAAATTTATAGAAACATATTTTGGACATTTTTAAATTTATAGAAATCAATTTTCTGAAGTTCACAAAATTAACTATGCATTCTACTGGTCCCTCTAAATATATTTAGAAAAATTTTAACCTTATAAAAAATAAATTGCAAAGGATTTGACTCCTGTATGACAAATATTGACTAAGATATCTAATTTCAAAATCTGTGATTTTTTTATGTTACATTCAATTTACATTCAGAAATCTGTTAATAAATAAATTTTAAAAATTCAAACTTGTTTCTTTTGTTCTCCCTTAAATGCAATTCATTGATGCTTTTTTGCGATTTGTTAGTGCTTTGAGGTACTTGCGTATTATCCATCAACCGGCCAAATAGTGCAAATTAGAGCCAATTATAGATGACTCACTTCATTTAGAATTTAACCTTAATGGTTGGTGATTGATAACTGTTGACGAAATTTACATCAACGAAATAATGCATAAGTATCATTATGCCGCCCTCCAACCAGTATAGTGGTTAGCGTCACTGACTGCTATGGTGAAGGGCCCAGGTTTGAATCTCGAAAAAGGCATGGATGTTTGTAAATGTATCATGTCAGTGTGGCATGGTGGCATTCTAAATATGTGGCAAGCCGAAACTCCTCTTGTGTGGTTTGGTGGAAGGGGAGAGGGACGGGAGACCCTCGGACCTGTTCCCTTAGGGTTCTGTCCATCAAAATTGGGGCTGGAACTGAGCCATATCGCACTGTCACCTGTTAGTTGCTCCAGGCTGTTACCAACGACAGGTGTAATCTTGCACTCCTTGCCGCAATAAATTTCACAGGCTTGGGCTGATTACGTCGGACAAGTGAGCATAAGCAACTACAACATCATTGTGCCAAAATAATTTTCATGCAAGTAATTTATAAATTTTCAAAGTATGTTATTAATAGTCTCATGAAGTTTTATTACTTTAGGATCACAAACTGATATTCATACAAAAAATTTCTTAATCCTCAAATAGTTTTCATTTTTAAATAGTTCAAATAATAGTACGAGTCATCAGTGTGCCAATACAGAAGCCTGCTAGTGTTTTCTAGAAGACAAATTCTATAAGATTCTGTCAACAAGATCTCCAATTAGAAAAAAAATATTGATCAATACTTTTTCACAGTAGTCTCCATAGAAATGCTTGTCATTTAATCTCAACATCAGAAATCTTTTCTAACCTGATATTTTATTACTTGTATGAAGTAAAGAAAGTATTGTAATTACAAAAAACTCTGAGTATCATATTTCAATGGAAATATCCATTTTGACCATTCCCAACTCCATTTTCACTAATTTTTTGCATGATGTCTGTACATACGAGCAGAATAAAGAACTCTTTTTCAGAAATGGATTCAAAACAGAATTTTTCATTATGTCTGTGCGTATATATGTATCTTGCATAACTCAAAAATGATTAGGAGAAGAACATTGAAATTTTGTATATGAACTTGCTATACATCTAATTATGCACTTATCTTTTTTATTGCAATCAACATTATCTAAAGTTTATATATATATATACTGAACTCCCTTGCCCAGGCTTAACAGGTCTCTCAAGGGAGGTTGAAAATGCGATAAAAAATTGCACATTTTTAAAATGAAATATCCTAGTCAGTTTTTGTTGTACAGGAGTCATACTTTTTGTATTTTTATTTTTCATAATGAATACAAACATAGGAGAGAAACCACATTAAATGTTAGATTTCATTAATTGTCAAAAAAAAAAAAAAAAAGTTTTTTTTTTTTTTCTTTTTTTGAAATTGCCAAAACATGAATATTTTCATCAATTACAATGCTTCTGCAAGGGGAAGTATATGACTACAACCAACGACTGTGAAAGTAATGCATATAATTTAATAGGACATACAAGGAAGTCATGTGGTGGCCACATCAGAATCTTTTTTTCTTTAGTTAAATATGCATACAGACATTTCACTATAAAGTTTTTATGTGGCCTTTAAACATAATCAACAAATTTAATACCAAATACCTCAATCATTTTATTTTTTATAATGAGTACAAAATTTTCCTTATAAAGGGATTGCAGAAAGGTAAATTTTGTATTTTAAATTTTAATTACAAAATTAATTTCTTTAGATTAAAATATATGAAAACATGAATTATTGCATCATTTAGAACTAGAATTATGTGTATACGAGCAATGGTTGCAAAAATAAAGGCTGGGTAAGAACTTTTGTGGGCATGATGTATATATAGACAGAGAGTGCAAATAAAAAGTTTTATTTTCCTTTAATTTAGAAATATGTGCTCAAATTAGGTTGTTGGGAAGTTATACTGCATATACCTGCTTTGAAGGAATCCATAAAATTTAGTTTTACAATCTTGATATTACAACCACAAATATTATTCATTTGCTAGAAAAATCTTATTGATCAAACTGTCTGATCTTAATGTGATTCTGTAATAATTTAGATAATTTTAGAGCCAAAGCTTTTAATTTCTGTTATTGAATATTTGTGCACATAGAAATTCAGATTTTTAGTTTTGCTTCCAAAAGCTTTTAATTTTCTCTACAAATATAGTAATTAAAATTCTGTTAGGCAGTTCATTGATGCTTAGTAGTATTATAATCAGTATTATTCAAAAGATATAATTAGGATTTTAGATATTTTTTATTGTTGTTTTTGACAACTTTTGCTTTTGTGCAGGAAAACATTATTGTAATGAGTTACTTGATTACTTGATTTAATATGCTGTTATCAGTTGGAGACTTTTTATATTGCTTGTTATAAGGAAGTGTTTGCTCTAACAAATGATAATTATTAAGAGCATTAACTGTGTTTTGTATGCTGAAGTTTTCTTGGATGTAAAAGAAAGTGTAATTTATATGCAGTACTTCATCTACACTCATGTCCATAAATTAAGGATAATTCAGAGTCACATGGAAATCGAACTCTAAAATAAATATATCACCTGTAAAATCACTACACACATCTTCAAGAATCATATGCAAATTTCAGGAAGTAACCGGATGACACCAATAGTACGTCACAATGATGAGAGTGTAAGAGAGTGATATATAAGGAATACAGGCAAAGAAGTAAAATTGATCGCATGTGCTTTATAAGCATTTCAGTGCAATAACTGAATAGTTATGACACAAAGGACGCATGTGGATGATTTTTTACGTGGTAGAATTATCGGCCATCTGGAAGTAGGCGTACCTAACTGGAAGTATCAGACGAACTTGGAATTGCCCAGTGTCATGTCCAGAGGCTTTGGCAATAATTCCAAGATGATGGTAATATGAGTAGACATTACAGCACAGGTCGCCCCAGAGTTACAACGCCAAATGAGGACCGGTATTTGGCAGTTACTGCCAAAAGAAACAGGCGCAGCACAGCCTCAGACCTGTCTCATCAGCTCTCTTCAGCCACTGGTATGACAATTTCAAGGCAGACCGTGTACAGACGCTTAGGGCAAATTGGTCTATATGCTCATAGACCTTACTGCAACCCACTATCGCCTGCGGTTAGCCTGGAGTAGAGAGCATGCATTGTGGACACCGCAACAGTGGGCTTGTGTGATGTTTTCCTGTGAGTTCAGGTTTAGCTTGCAGTCTGATTCTTGCCGGACTTTCATATGGAGAGCTCCAGGTACCCGTTACCACCAAGAAAACATCGTTGAACGATACTGTTACGGTGGTTCAGGAGTGCTCATTTGGGGTGGATTTATTCTGGGTTCCAGAACTGACCTGCATGTTCAAATTCTAACCATGACAAGCCAATTCTGTTGGGACGTCATTCTGGAACAACATGTACATTTGTTTCGGGGCGCCATGGGCTCATAATTTTTGTTATGAATGACAACGTCCGTTCTCACCGTGCAAACATCGTAAGCGAATGCCTTCAATCGGAGGATATCGCCCGTATGGACTGGCCAGCATTCTCACCAGACTTGAATCCAGTAGAGCACGTGTGGGACATGCTTGGCTGACGAGTTGCAGCCCGTCAACTGGACCTTCGGAGACCATTGCTTTTTGAGTGATGTAATATCCCCCAAGATCAAATCGATAATTTGATACTCAGCATGCCTAGGCGTTGTACGGACTGTATTGCATCGTCTGGGAGACATACAATGTATTAACAATCATACCAACCATGTAATATTGGTTTTTTGTAAATAGGTGTTTTTTGTAATTTGCTTCAGGGTGGAAAAAATCGCTATTTTTTTTAATAATATCAAACATATAGCTTTTTTTTTTTTTTTTTTTTTTTTTTTTTTTTTTTTCTCCTCTTTACCTTTTGTTTAATAAATAAGCTTTACAAATAAGTCAAATTTGTTTTGCTTCTAACTCTTCCTTTGCCTGATTTTGCATTATCCTTAATTTATGGACATGAGTGTAGATAATGAATTTTAGTCAAGTGAAACTGCATATTTCATAAATTGAAACCCGACAGGCGCTGCAACATATTGTAGCATGCATACAGGTTTGTGGTAAATTGAATACACACAGAATTGATAATAGCTTGATAAAACTTATTTTACCAAAAGAAACACTTCACAGTTCTGAAACTTTCCACAAAAATACGTGTACAGGTCTTCACACTATAGGATGTTTCTAAATGAATATAAGAGTTTTAATACTTTGTAGCATTTATTATGTAAAACTTAAAAATCATAATTAATACATAAAATGAAAGAGCAACTCAAACAGTTCTATTTGTTGGTACACGCATGTGCCAGAAAGTGCTAGTAGCAAAAATGGCGACTAATGAACAGAAAGCTTTTTGTGTTCTTCAGTTTGCAAAGACCGGATCTGTCGTTACTTGCAACGTGCATTCCAGATTAAGTTTAGATGTGAGCCCCCAAGTGATAATAACATCCGGAGATGTTATTGTAAGTTTGAAAATATTGGCTGGCTTTGCAAAGTGAAGAGTATAGTACGACCAAGAGTTAGTGGAGAGAGTGTTGAGCGAGTGAGAGATTTATGTGATTTCTACCTGTGGGGGTTCATAAAGGATCGTGTATATGTGCTTCCACTACCAGCTGACCTAATTGACCTAAGAAACAGAATTGAGGCAGCTGTTGCAACAATTACACCACAGAGAACACCTTCTCCGATGGGCAGGCATTAGAGGTACACATCGTACAGGGCGTCTTGCAAACAGACCACCACCGTGCAGTCTTCTGGCCACGGTAAAACGCGATATCGGTTGTCCAGTCACCTGTGTCATGTGTCTAACGATTTCTCTTCGCTGTCTGCTGCCTGTTTCTTCTGGCCTGTAAGGCAATATACCGGTCATCTGCGGGTGTGGTTCCTCGTGGACGACCACTACTAAACCCCCAGATAGCTGTTCCTGTAGTTTGAAATTGTCTCCAAAGTTGTGAAACGATGCTGTGAGCAATTCCGAACTCTGCAGCCACACTTATCACGCTGCGGCCTTCCTCCAACTTCCCAATGATTCGACCTCGGGTAAAAGCATCCAGATGTCGTCTAACAGATTGATTATTTGCCATTTCTCGCTGAGACAGCAACTCTATGATTTTAACTGCACGAAAGCACCCCACCCCCAATGGCGGGTGCTCACTCATCTTTGCCTTGGCCACATCTAAGGCCAGACGTGGTAGTCACGTTATTATGAGGCACCTAATGGGTGTGCCACCTTCGACTGCTATGAAGGGCTGGACAGTTAGAACCATGCCTTCTCCGTGATTCGAACCTGGGCCCTTTGATCACAGTTAACTTCCCTAATAACTATACCGTCTGGGCAGCATTTAAAGCTGTGCTTTACATAATATACTTAAGGGCTGTTTTCTGAAATATGCTAAAATATATGTTTCAGATGGCAGTAAATAATTTATTGTTATTGTTACTTCTGAATTTATTAATATTATATTGTGTATCTTATTTTTAAATGTCATAGTAAATGTAAATTTTTAATATATATTAAAAAAGTAATTTAGAGGTCTAAAATTAATTATCTACTTCATAAAGTATAATTAGCTTGAGAGCATGTGTAAAATTAATATATATCTATTTTTTTTTCCATGTTCTTCATGTATAGCAGTTTTCTAATATCTGAAAATTATTTTATGCATAATATTTTACAGAACAATTTTAATGAAAAAAAAATGGATTACATGTTGAACAAATTCTAAACTGCTTCCCCCCCCCCCCCCCGGAAAAAAAGAAGGAATTTCACACAAATTCTCATATTAGGTCCTTTTCAGATTTTATCCCGAATCATGAAAAATCAAATGAAATACTTTCAGATATGAAGTGCAGATAAACAGCATTATTATAAATAAAAAATTATTTATTCAGCAAAAGTAAAAATTTATTTATTTAAAATAATTTTATGCAAAATAACATATAAATTGGTTAGTACTGTTAACTTTCCACTGAGATAATATTCATTTTTGTGGATGTTGTGTATAATGGACATATAAACAAATGGTGTAGCTCTGAAAATAGTTACTTTGATGTTGACTACTATGTTAATTTTTCATTTCACAGAGTATTGTAGTGAAGATGCATGTTGTCACATCAAAATATTAGCAACCCACTGAATAAAAGATTCGACAAAGTAGCACAGAAAAATATATTCCTTATGTAAATTGCTGCCTATAATACATGTTTAATTTTTTTTAATAGAATGGAACTGGAGATGCCAATGATGTGTGGAGACTTGAAATAGTTGGCATAGATGAAAGAGTAACAGTTGCTACTGTAACAAGTAAATTTAGAATTATTCATTATTTAACTGGGTGTGCTCTGCATTCTCACTCCAAGCAGCTACCTAAATGGTGAGTTACAATGCTTAAGCCTTTTTTTTTTTTTTTTTTTTTTTTTTAATAAAAAGGTAGACATTGGAGAACAGTTTAAATATTTTGAAGAAATTTTAAACAGTACTTTAATTATGATATAAAAAATAAAATAGTGTATAATATCAGAATTTATTTTGTGTGTTTTACTATAAATCTGCACTGCTGTATGTAAATAACTATGAAACTAGGTGACCAAAAAAATGCCCACAGGAAAAATGCTCACAGGTATAAATGCTCACAGGAAAAATGCCGACACAGAGATATGCCCACATAGAAAAAAGCTCACATGGAAAAAATGCTCACTTAGAAATATGCTCACATAGATATATGCTCACACGGAAATAAGCCCACTCATAAATAAAATATGTAGAAATATCCTTAGATTAATCAGTCAGATTAATTAATCGATTTGAATATCGTACATCTATATGAATTGTTCATAGAAAAAATATTTAAATTACCAAATCATCTATGGTATATATATATATATATATCAAAAACTGTAAAACTTATGTGTAGATTCAGTTACTATATAAGATTAACAAATGGGTTGTTTTGAATTAGGAAAAGGAGAGAAAGAAGGAAGAAAATGGAACAGAATATAAGTGAAAAATTATTACAATTTTAATTGTTAAAAAAATAAAATAATATTAAATATAAGTTACACATTTTATAATATAAACATTTATAAGAATAAGAAAACATAAATAATTATTTTATTTAAATTACGAAAGTACCTTATGATATATAAATCACAAATATATATTTTAAAAAGTTATGAATACATAAATGTGCTGAATATTAGCTAATATATGTAAATATTTAATTTTATCATCAGTTTCATCATAGTTTTTTACATGATTCGCGATTAGCAAATATAAGTTTTCATTCTTTCTTTTTTTTTTTTACTTCAGTACACCATGTATTTACAATAGCTAATAATAAACGTTGACTTGCTAAATCTTTTATGAGTCCATCAAATAAAAACCACATAATGGGATGGATACAATTAAATAATGAATTTAGTACTTCATGAAAGCTTTCGTAATAATTTGTGGTTTTAGGAGATTTTTCGAAGGCTGCATCATAATGAATCCACACTTCAATTGGAAACTGTGGTCTTCTAGAACTTTTTTGGCTCCAAACTTAAATAACTACATTCAAACAGTAATTTCTATAGATACCTATCAAAACTATGCAAAATAAGTAAAAGATAGTAAAAAATAGAGTAAAAAAAACAAAAATTAACTGTTCGGAGTTAAAGGAATAAAAATGTCATACAGGGGCAGTAGTATAAAATATTATAGTACATGCAAAATTTAGTTTAGTTTTCATTCTTTTATATACCACCCCTGAAAATGTTTATGTGAGCATTCGTCCAATAATTTTTTTCAAATGATCAAATCATTTTTCTTTAAACAATTCAAGTATATGTACGATGTTCAAGATTGATTAATGTAAGGATATTTCTACGTATTTTATTTATCAGTGGGCTTATTTCCATGTGAGCTTTTTTCCGTGTGAGCACATTTCTAAGTGAGCATTTTTCCATGTGAGCTTTTTTCTACATGGGCGGATTTCTGTGTGGACTTTTTTCCTGTGTTCATTTTTCCTGTGATTTTTTTCCCTAGAACCATGAAACTACAAGAAAAAATTCAAAAAGAATTTGTCTTGCACACTTTTTTATATTTCTCATACATTTTGATTCTATATATTTTCCTATATGAGACTGAAATTGTATGCTAACTATATGAAAAGAGATGTTGATAAAATATGGGAATAATATTTCAGAACTTGCAAAATTAGGCAAGAGGCAACTTTAGGTTAGTCTAGATTTCAGTATAATTTTATCAATTTTGAAAATGCACACACGCAAAGTATTAATTATAGTAATCATCATTTCGCATTCCGAACCTGTTGTTTCTAAGTAAAGTATTCGTAAATTGCAGAAAATAGCCTGAAATGTTTACCAGTAATTTTGCAACTAACATGCATATGTGTAGTCAATATGTTTTCATTTCTGTCATAAGTGTCATAAGAAAAATTCCCATTATTTTGAAATCTATTTGCAGGCAATGAACTTGATATGTTTTTGTAGTACAATGTTAGTTTTTGCAAGTGATAAAACTTGATATGGAAATGCCTTTTTTTAAAGTACATTAATTTATATATCAGTGACAATATACTGAAATTAATGCTTAATAAATTTACAAATTAAAGCATAATTTTGAGCAACAAAGTAAAGAATGCTTTGAATTATCATATAAAAGGAAGACAGACTGCTTTTTCTGATGTTCTGCAATATATTTTTTATCCTGATGTTAAAAACTGAAATGATAATTATAAAATTTTTAATAAATCCAGTAAAACTTCTGTTGTCGAAAAGTTAACAAGAAAAATTATTTGAATGTGTATATTGGAACAAAACAGATGCTGTTGAATTACAATAAATGCCTTGTGATACCTTGTGATACCAATTTTGAAAATTTCCTTTGCCCAACCCTATCAACATCTGCTGCATTATTAGTGAAGGAAAATCCTTAGTTTCTAAAAAAGACCAAAAGCATTACATCTAATGAGCAATAAACTTTGTCAAATAAGTAAATAAAAAATTAAGTATTTGAAAAAGGGTTGAAGTACTTTAACAATGACAATAAAATTGTGGAGGAAGTTTATTACCATTTGATATGTTAATGACTCCCAGACTGACAAATATAGTAACCAAGAGAATTTTTTAAGCAGCTGACTTATACGAGGTGTCACACACACACACACAAAAAAAAAAAAAAAAAAAAAAAAGAAGAGATTGGTCCAATAAATCATTGTACTTACAGAATCAGTTCTCACCTTCAAAGTAGTCCTCTTCAGCATTCACACACTTCCTGCCTTCAGTTCTGCCATTGCTGGTAACAATTCTAGAACGAGGTCTTTGGAAGGCCTTCAGGAGATTCTCCGTTTTTGCCTGAACCTCTTCAACTGAGGTAAAATGGCTTCCCTTTAAGCAAGATTTAACTTTAAGAAATAAAAAAAAAAAGTTGTATGGAGCCAAATAAGGTGAATAAGGAGGATACCTCATCACAGTAATGTTTTTGCTGATCAGACAACTGTGGCTATTTTAGTTCAAAGGGGCTATGTCCCTGAAAGACTATTGTTTTCATTTTGCAATTTTGTATTGAATCACTTTTCAAACTGTTGCCACCAAATGTTAGACTCCTGCATTATATTTGAAGAAAGAAATTAATTAATGGAAAATCTGCGTCAATGTATGTATATTTCTTGCATTCTGATAAAACAACGGTACATAAAGCCATCAAATTTTGAATGATGTAATCTTCCTACGAATATGGGCAGGTAGAAGACCAAATTTGGAATTTGTTTTATTATCAATTTCATATTTTGTAAAATGTTAACAAATTTTTGAGTGACAAACTCAACAATTTAAAAGCGAGCAATGGCAACACTCTACAGGGGGGGGGACTCTTTTATCTCCAGCGTGCGGAACTGTGTATCGGAAATTCTAAAGATATGCTCATTTAAAAATTATTTTGAGACATTGCTGTTGAACTAAATTTTATGGTTTAAGTGCAAAGAACATGATATTTAATAAATAAAGGTAACACATAAAATGATAAAAAAGGCCCCTTTGGATGTAATTTAAAATTTATTTTTTATTTTATTCCCCCCCCCCTCCTAATTTTTTCACAAAGTCTCTTTAGTACTTCAGTGTAGTAGTGTTGATTAACTGTCTAACCACTGAGAACCCTCTCAATCATTACAATTCCGTTAATGTCAAAAAAGACAATTAACATTGCCTTGAATTTTGATTTTGACATGTGTGCTCTGTCCCTTCCCCCTAAACCCGCTTATTCATTCAAACACACATTTGCAAGACAAAGTTTCATCTCCATAAGCCTCAGTTAACATTTGAAATGATTTCATGGCTTATTTCTTAAGTTTCACAATAAACTTGATATCGATTCGCTGTTCGGTTTTTACATTAGACATTTTTTCCGGCAGAATACAGTTGCACATGTTCATTCAATGATGCAGTACTCCAAACTGGTGTGATTGGTTAAGTCAAAACTGGCCTCATGGTTAGAGGAGGTGTGTGGGATGACATCACCGAAACAGTTGTTGTCAACTCTACTATTTTTTTCAAGCTACACACTTAGTCTCATTTTTTCTTTGTGTGTGGGTCACATATCGTATTATACAAAAGTTAGATTTTTGAGTGCACTAAACTACAGTTTTGATGAATCATGTTTTTATGTGCCTAATTGTTAAAAGAGTGTGTAAATAAAATTATTTAATTGGTACTTATGTATTATTCCATTGACCATGAAAGTTGGCTACCATCAAATTATGAAAGTTGGCGGAGATCTCGCCAAAGTTGCACAAATCATTCCTGTGAAATTCTGAAGGAACTGACACCTCTTTATTTAATAAACAGTCAATATTTAATAAACAGTTTATTAAATAAAGAGATGTCATCAATTTTTACAGTTTTGTTACGCCCTTTGATTTTATTAGCAACTCTGTTTAGAACCTTATGAACAAAAACTTCCTGTATGTAATTATTCGAATCTATTATTTTGTCTTCCTTATTTAACTGACCATATGATGCTCATTAAGGCACACTTTTTTTTATGGTAGGATGAAATAATTTTTTTTTAAATCCTCTGTTTGCTGTTCTGTTGAAAAAAGGTTCCAAATTTTAATCTTTTTTATTTTTTATTTATTTTTTTTTTAATGCGAACAGGAAAAATGTAGCAATAACAGTTAATGTATAGCCTTGTTCATAAAACAAAATGTGGTTTATCGAGAATCAGTCAGAGATGTTTCAAATATGAATGTGTTGTTACATCACACTTATTCACAAATGGCAAAAAAATTACACTGTTTTGTTACAGTTTATGGTTTGCAGGATAATACGTAAGTCTATAATATATCTAAATCAATTTTTATCAATGTTTTCATGGTAAAAAAGTTTTAAAGTGTATAAATAACTTTTTAACTTATCACAAACTATTTTCAATTATTTTTTACACTTATGTTGTATCATATTATATTTTATGTTCAGGGTATAATTTATTTTCGTACATTTGTTTTTGTAGGGCCTCATAAGTTTTGAATAAAACATCTGTTTTGCATTATTTGTTCTCATATTTTCTTTTTTTGAAAAAACTGTACTGACAAATTATTTGGAACAAGTTTTAAATGGCAGTTTTACTGAATTATCAGTAATTGGAAAAGTCAGAAAAATTACAATCCCGTGTTTGATCCATTCCTTATGCAGAGTTGCCAACTCTCCCGATTTAGGCGGGAGACTCCCGATTTTTGACCGATCTCCCGCCAACCCGATTTACAATATATTTCTCCTGACTTTTTCTTATTTTTAAAATTTCTCACGATTTTTATGGAACTTGGCTTAATACTTTGTTATATGAACAAAAGTGATTTTGGACGTCTAAAAGCAATTGAATTTTCTCTAGATTATATCTAAAACAAAATCTTAAGAATCAGATAACTTCTGCTTTGTGAGAAACATCGTTCTCCTGTTCTCCAATGGGCATCGAACTCCACTGCGTCTCATCTGGCATATATTAGCCAATGAGGACAAGGCAAGCTGTTATTTGGATGTTCTTTAGTTATTTCGTTCAATTTGTGCTGAGTTGTGTGAGTGCACGTGCCTTCGGGAAATAGTTTTAGAAATTATCATCTGTTGTTATGTCTGCAAGAATGAAATACTCGTGTACGTTTCAAAAATCGTACAGTTGATTTTCCTTCCATTATTTCCTCAAGGAAATGTAATAAATTTGCGATGTGCACCGCCTGTCGTTGCGATTTTTCGAATTCGCAATGTGGAAGGGCGGATGTTCTCAAACATGTGCGAACACAAAAACACAAGGATAACATGAGTTGTTTTTTAAAAAAATGAAAGCAAAGGACAAAAAACTTATTAATGCAGAATGTCTGTTCTCTGCCTTTTTACTGGAGCACAACCTGCCACTGAATGCATCGGATCGCGCTGCAGCTTTATTTAGAAAAATGTTTCCCGATAGTGAAATTTCTAAGAAATACTCAAGTGCAAGAACCAAAACAGGTAAAATTGTTAAAGAAATGGGTTTGAAAAATAAATCTTCAGTTATTGATTGCACAAAACAGCTCCGTTCTGCCTCTTTACGGATGGAAGCAATGATACTGATTCAAAACTGTATCCAATTGTTGTTTCTTTTTTTAATCCAGATTCTTCAGAAATTGAGTTCAGTTTACTTTCTGTCCCCATTTTAGAAGGACATTTGACAAACTTTAATATACCACAGTTAATTATTAAACTTTAAAAGAAAATGCAGGCCCTCTGGATAATTGCTTAGCACTTGGTGCCGAAAATGCACCAGTATTGGTAGGCTTGAAGACTGGTGTTGCAATCATCTTAAGAAAGGAAAATTCAGATTTGGCAGATTATGAGGTGCACCTGTCACCTCTTAAATTTAGCAGCTGAAAAAGGGGCAGCTTCTTTACCAATAAATGTGGATGAACACATTGTTGATATTTATTATTATCTTGAAAGGATTCTAAAAGAAGAAAAATTGAAACAGTTCCAACAGCTGCATAACAGCAGTTTACAATTAGAAAACTTGAATGAAGTTATAAAATCAGCTAGGATTGACATCCAGTGGAGTTTAATTGGAAAACTGAAAGGTGCTGATGGAATTTTAAAATATAGTCAACTGTCTAGAATTGTGTTGGCCATCTTGACAGTTCCCCATAGTAGTGCAGAGTGTGAGAGCATTTTCAGTGTTGTTGCGTAAACAAGGACTAAATTTAGATCTAATATTAGTGATGACACATTAAAAAAACTTTTCTTAGCGAAAGCAGGCCTACGTGGCAATGGCAGTGAACAAAATTAGGAAGTTTCTTTCTAACTTCCTAATTTTCTAAACTAAAATTCCCTTCTCCCCCCCCCTTAAACGATGCAAGTAATAAAAATGTTTTTTTTATGCGTAAGGTATTTTTGTGTTGCTTGCATTTAAGGATTAGTTACTATTTAAAGTTAATTCATTATTAAAAACCATATTTTTATCATTTAAAAAGTCTTTTTAACATTGCGAAAAATCTCCTGATTTCTTAAAAAAATCTCCTGATTTTTGAGTGTCATAGGTTGGCAAGTATGCTTATGTAATAAGCCAAAGTTTCTATAGACAATGTAAAATTTAAAAAATAAGTCAGAGTAAAAGATTAAAACAAACATTAACCCTTCCCCCAAAAAAGAGCTTGCATAATTAATCAGCCAATGCTTGTAAAGCAATTGTTCAAGTAATACATTAAATAATATTTTTTGTGAAATTTTTGAAGTCAACAAAATGTTGATCTCCAGATCTATGTTTAAAGCAACTGCAATGGGAGCTATTTCATTAGCATTCATTTCTTAACTAACCAATATAATATTTAATAACAGCAAATGCAGGTATGTCTTTATTATTTTTGTTTATAGGTTGGGTTTTTCTGTTTATAACTGTATTGCTATATGACATTGCTGCAATAAATATTTGTTTTTACTGTAGTGTAAATTGTGCACTTTTAGTTTTATGGATAATGAATAGTCTAAATGATTGTAAAATATGAGTATAATCTTGCTTTATAGTATAATTTCAAATATTTTTTTTTTTTTTTTTTTTTTTTTTTTTTGAAATTTACTGATTTATCTTTAGCACCTTGTTAATTTTGAAAATCTGAAGTATGTGACTGTGGCAAAGTGAAAGAATTTCAAACCATGAAGATTTGATATTATTTATATATTAACAAGTTTAATGTGCATATATAATATGGGTCTATTTTCAGGGGGTATGAACAGATGGAAGTCACATGTAATCCAAATGTGAGAGATTCTAACAACTTTTGGAATATAGAAGATAACTATTTCCCAAAATGTGAGTTTGATTTATTAATGCTAATCTTCCAAGGTGTTATTGATTTAAGCCAATTATTGTTAACCTCTTTTTAGTTGACTATGGACTTGCCTGAATATTTGCAATCTTCCAGTATAATGATTTATATTCAAATTTTTGTTTTTTTTATATTAATATAATAATAATTGCAAAAAATTCCATAATTATGTGATTAATGTATTGTATAGAGTTTTTTAAGCTTAGTTTGCAAACCAATATGCATCTTTTCTTAAAAATGCACTAGTCTCTATTAAAAATTTGATTTAAATAATATTATTGTAAAATATAGCAATTTGCATAAGTATATCAATGAAAATGGAAACAAACATTATATCTTAAGTATTTTTACACTAAAATATTTCATGACATTCTGGCTTAGCAATATTTTTATATAAATTCTTTCTTCCCCCCTTTTTTTCATTTTAATATATATTACTTTTCTTGGTATTTTTTCTGTAATTAACAAGTCTTGTAGCAGCATAATTTTGAAAATGTTAAAATGTTAATAAAAATGTTATCTTGCCTTTTCCTAACTTGAAATCTTTTCATTACAATTTATGTAAAAGGAGTATAAATTCTACATTAGTTTTACAAAGATGGTTTATGATTAACCTATTTTTCAACTATATGACAGGATTTCCTAATAAATAAATTCGAAGCTGCTGACAGGAAAAATAAATATTGTACCTAAAGTAAAAAAAAAAAATCAGTACAAATACATTTACAAAAACATTAGTTGATATTGTTGATAACAAATTGTAAGATCATTCAAATGGAAGTTGGTTTTGGGGATGATGACCTCTGTAAATATAGTATTTTGAATTCTCATCCAGGATTTCTTTACATGTAACTCAGATTTCAGCAAATTATTGCACACAGTAGATATATGTATATTTACAGTGTGCTTGTCAGCTACACTTAACTGTCTGAAAAATATAAAAATAATTTGAATTTTAAGTTATATTTCATTTTAAGAGAAAACAATTACTTTTATTTTTGTTTGTTGATTATTATGATTTTCTTCTAGTAACTGCAATGCTAAATGTATATATATAGTTCTGATACTTTACATGCAAATGAATTTTTTATAAGTGTATTTTAATTCAATTGGTTCCCCCCTCTCTCCAGTTTTCTCTTTCTCTGCAAGTGTTTAATTCTTAATTAATGTAAAATGATTTACTGTTTATAATGTTTAACCAAAACACTATAAAACTTTTTAATTTAATATGGAGTAGTATATTTATTTTACATAGTATTTGCTTAATTAACAAATAAACTGCTTTAAAATCTGTATTTTTATAAATTCAGAATTTTTTCTTTTTTAAATGGTGATAGATAGCTTTCTTCTGTAGCACATTATGGGTAACATTTTATCTTACTTTTCGAATATAATTAGTTTATTTGCACTCTATTATTTATTACTAAAAAGGGTATATTGTTACAAAATTGTAAAGTTTTGTAAAAAAAAAGATTAGAGATCTAATTCCAGATATAAAATCAGTATTTTAATAAGGATATTATGCAATTATCTGTATTTAGAAATTTTTTGAAAACTATCCAAAATTTTTAAAATACTCATCAGAAATTTTATTTTATTATATGAATTCATTGGAGAGTAAGGTTAAATAATGCTTTATATATATATATATAAAATCTGCTACATTGCTTTTAAAAGTATAGGAATGTAAACATTTTTCGGTACTTTTCCGTTTCGCCGGCGCAAATCTCGCCAAGCAGACTTTATTGGCGACAACATACAGTATACACATAAAAAATATTTAAAAAATGTTAGTTCTAAGAAATCTTTTTTTGAAGGCATAAACATTTTAATATCGCTTAAAATTTTATAAAAAGCCAATAAATAAAGACAATAAATTTGTAAAAAGACATTAATTTAAGAATTTACTATGGTTCAACATCCTGATTCGCCGGTTCATATCACGTGACCCCAAGCGATCTCATCTCACGTAAACTACTCTACAAAAGTCTAATGCTCTCAGTAATTATCTACATTAATTTCAAGTTAAATCTTAATTTGGAACACAAGTTTAAATGCAAGAAATATTTCAATTCGTACGAATAGCTTACTCAGAAATTATGTAAAACTTCAGTGCTTTACTTCGCTAATGCATTCTCATTAGAATCGATGAATTTAACCCTTGACTTTTGTCCTTTTCTATATTTTTCGGCTTCGGGTAAGCACTGTGATTGCATCCTAATTGACTTAATTACCGAAAATGGCCTTAGACATAAAATTGAACTATCTGATAAAAATTCTATGTAATTATATGCCAGTATTGAAAGAAACAATCAATCTGATAAGAAAAAGCTGCGCCTTGTTTTGAAAATGAGGCGTAAAAGGTTACCAGCGAGAATATTCCGTTTGGCATCGGTTGTACCATTATTGGCGACTTTATCGCTTGCGCCGGCAAAACGGAAAAGTACCCATTTTTCTCTTTAAGACCATGAGTATATATAAAAATCTAAAAATAATTTGAATTTTAAGTTATGTTTCATTTTAAGAGAGAAAACGATTACTTTTATTTTTGTTTGTTGATTATTATGATTTTCTTCTAGTAACTGCAGTGCTAAATGTATATATATAGTTCTGATACTTTACATGGAAATGAATTTTTTATAAGTGTATTTTAATCAGGTTGTTCCTCCCTCTCTCCAGATCTTTCTGACCATACCTTTCTGCTTATTAAAATTCCAAGTCATTTTAAAAAGTAATTAACTTTTGCATATTTGTTTATCTATAGTGCCTAATGTCAGTTTTGAAGTATATGCACCAAGTTTTTTGGAAAGATTCTTAGAATCTCATGCTGTTATGTTTCAGGTGATATGCATATTTGTTATGTTTAAATTAATTTTTTGAAGAATGCTCTTATTTTTTAATGAATTAAATATTTGTCTTTAATTATGTTTCATAAATATTTTTCTTTAATTATATTTTATTAATTATGTTCCATAAAATTTTGTTTTATTAATTTATTTAACTGAATTTCTTTTTTGACTGACTGAGTTACTTCCAGGGAAATTCTGGATTGAAACCCAAAGAAGGAGAAGTAACTTCAAGACCATGGCAGTGGCCTATTAATTTGAGAGTAAGTTCATAAACCTGTATTATTTATTTAATGGTTAATGTATTAAATACTTACTGACTTCATCTCCTTCAAAATAGTCTCCCGCTAATTGATGTGTCTATCTTAGTATGATTTTAATGCTGGGAAGCATCCATGGAAACCATGTTTTATCAATTTCTACAATATATGCTGTGCTATTTTCTAATCCCTCTGAGTATAATTGATTTGTGCACCAAAACGTTATGATTAAGATGTGTTTTCTTGATTATCATTCCAAAATGACTCTTTCACTTTGAACCTCTACTCCTTTTTTTCCTCTAAAATGCGTCCAACCCTAAATCAGATACTTCAGGAGCTGGCAGAAATTTTCATATGTAACGAATTGTAAAGCAATCCTTCTATGTGGAATTATACGCCCATAACCCTTAGAAGCTTAATTTCATCTGTCATCTCAAATTTTTTCTTCTTGAGCTTAATATCTGTGTTTTAGGGAACAGGAGTTAAAAATGAGAGTCAAGAATTTACGAACAACAAGAACAAGCTGATGCGTTATCATATTGCAACATCCAGATTCCTTTTTCTAATCTTAGTACATTTCTGGCAAATATGTTTTCCAAGATGCCTCAGAACTCAATAGCAAAGCATCTCATTTGTGAGTTGCTCTTATAGAACAAATGCCTTGTGAATAAACTCTTTGATGTCAAAAACACATATCAATAGTGTTCTTTGTATTGCTGCAGAATAATTCTGCAGTACTTTGATGAGGGTCTGCTTTATTAACTAAGTGTAGCTGGTCATTATTCAGCTTCATTAGTTTCCATGAATAAGAGGCCTGAGATAAAAAAACCCTTAACTAGAATTTGGTGAACCACTGTTGTGCACATCTAATGCATTTGGGAATAAAAATACAAATGCTTTTGGTAGCTGTTGTTGCATAGATATGAAATTCACTAAGCATACAGTAGTGAAGATGACTTTTTCAGAATTTTCTGTCGCTCATTTTGATTAAGCCACTTGGATGTGAAATTTTACTGTAGAACATTTTTTTAATTTATACATAAAATTATTTCATATTGCCTGATCAGTACTACTTAATTAAAGCTGTTTTTAATTAACATCACTTAAGAACTACTTTTCTAGTCCACCCAATGCGAAAAGAAATACCTTTTTTTTTTTTTTTTAAACTTTGAAATCATAGGCATGATATAGTTTTCATTAGGTTTCTTAGAATTTGTTACCACTAGTTGAGCTAATGTTTGCGCAGATGCATTTGCATTGGTTTATTCTATTTATTAAAAAAAAAGTATTATGTGATGTGCACTTGGTAATGCTTATAAAAATGATTTGTTAAATATAAATTTTTTGCATTCTAGGGACAATTTTTTTCCGGTCAGCAGCTTCGAATTTATTTATTAGGAAATCCTGTCATATGGTGGGGAAATCTGCTATTACTAGTAGTCTTCTTTATTGTGAAACTCTGTCTTGCAGTTCAAAAAAAGCGTGGATATAACCATAGCAAGCTTTTAACAGGTATTGAAAATTGCATATATACGTATAATAGATTAAAAGTCTTTGTTTCATAAAAAGTATATTATAGTTTAATATACATTCCTGAATTAAATTTTATTTTCAAAGCTACATTGTGCTTTTTTATATATTTTCCTGTATTTTTTCATCCATTAAATGTTTTTTTTATTGCTATTATTGTAGTATAAACTGTAAGTTTGTCTTGTGTCATATTATCAAATTGTTTGTTATGTTATGTATAGTTTGTGCATTCAGAGTCTCATGTAAAATGACTGTATATAAAGAGTCAAGTACTTTCTTCTTTGTCAGTGGATTTCACTCCCATTGAACACATATGGATACATTTCAGTGACATCTGAAGCATTATTGTTTGCTGTTTCACTGTTTTCATTTATCACATATTTGTATGAACTTCTGCATATTTCTAAGCCAGGCTTTCCAGGTCTGTATTTAAAAAAATTATCTATAGCATGCCATGGGGAGTTAATTTATTTTAATGCAATTAAAAACTATTAATAATCATGCTTTCTACTTTTGAGCTCTTTTACCTGTTATTTTGGCCTACTGCATTTGTGGCATGTTTTATTAATTTATACTTTTAGCTCTTCTGAAGTTTCATACACATTTATAGTAATAGAACTATAATTTAATGCTTCTACTCTTTCACTGATTAGCATTAAGTCCTATATGGTCTTATAAAAAGATTACACATTGTTTGAATTATTATTTTTATGGCTGTGAATTTCATGGCTGTTTTTATGGCTACACCGAATTTTATGGCTTTCACAGCCATAAAATTTGGAGAATTTAAGATTTTGCCACCATAATAATCAGTTAATTTTCAGACTTCAGAGCTCTTATTTTCATGCAGATTTTCTTATACTCTTTTATTTGATTAAGGGGCATATTATGAGCCATTATCTTACTGGGCAAATCTAGTCTTATCAATAAAATAGCATTTTCAACTGAATTAAATATTCATAGAATGTGTAATAATCTGTAATAGTGCAAGTTGATTATGACAGCGCCATTATGTCTTAAACATATCATCAATGAGCCTCTTTATGTTTATCTGCTGAAAAATACTTAGCTTCAATATGTTAATAACATCTCTTATTGTGTTAATATTTTGAACACACATGTGCTGCATTATGTTATTTTACAGTGACTTCATATGATAATTCTAAATGAAAATGACCCATTTTAATACATTACTTTATGAATTTTTAGGAGCAGATGCAAATCAATTTTAATTTTTATAAAACCAGGATGTGCTTTAATGAGAATTTTGGTAGCAATTATTTTACTACCATTCATCTGTACGAGTTGTTCTCTCGAATTGGCTTACTGCATGATTGTTTTTTCTGGCCATTGCTATGTATATTGTATGCTAATTTTCTTAGAAAGTCCCTCACAAAGACACCTTTATAGGCAGATGGCCTGATGTGCTAAGTGAATTTTTCATCATCTGATAAAGCAATTGTTTCCCATTATCTAATCACATCATTGCAGTTTTTCCCCAGCTTAATCCTTAGCTTTATATTTTTGTTATTAAAAAATTTTTAATAAATACATTTAAACTAATGGTTTTCAAATTATGTTTTGCAGTATCCTAGGGTTCCACAAATCAAAATCAAAATTCAAAAGAATTTTTAATTCTGTGGTGATCATAGCACTAAATATCTAAAATAATTAAACAAATTAATTTTTATTTTATTTTTGTTTATTGTTACCTGTTTATATAAATCTGTTTTAATATGTATAGTCATGCTCAAACAGACATAAGTAAAGCAACTTTGGAATCAACAAAGAAGAGTCATTCATCTGTCTATTTACATGGGGTCCATGCATTTCTAATATCTATGAACAAAGGAACACAACAGCAAATAATTTCAGTCAGCCCATAGTTCATTCTTATTGCTGCTTTCTCATTGTAAAATAGTAAATACTGAATAAATTAACTCTTTCGCATCGAAGTCGCCCAAAACGCCCGACCATTCAGACATCGGCAGGTCACCCGAATACCTGAATCATTTCCTACCTAGTACTTTCCCCCATCACGTTGCTCATTGCTTTCAGGAGTTGTTAAATGACATGCCAATAATTTTTTTTTTTTTTTTTTTTTTTTTTTTTTTTAAGTGACTAAAAGTAGTTCTGTTATTTTAATGCACCTCCTTTTTCCTTTGTTTACTGTCAATGTTTAGCTGTTGATGCCCGAAACTGCGATCCTGCCCCAAGGGAAAACTTCACACAGGGTGAAAGCTTCCAAGAAAGAAGTCATCACTTTACTTACATAGGTTCTTATTAGCGCTGTAGTATTCTACTTGTCATGGGGAAAGGAAAACCATTCCAAGAGAAATAAATTCATATACACGGGCGTTTTCAATGTTTGAGGAAAAGAGATTTGATCCTCTCTCGATGCAAAAGAGTTAAAAGAGGTTTAACCATTTGAGAGGCAGTATAAAAAGCAATTTAAATTGTGGTAAAATTTCACATGAATTGTAACTTATGGATCCCTAAGAACACAAAATTGAGACTTAAAAAAAAATCTAAAGTGAAATCCTGAATTTTGAGAGCTGGTATTATTTTATACTGGTGCCCCTCTATGACATTTTTTTCCCCAGATAGCTGCTAATAGTTAATTTTTGGTTTTTTAATTTAATTTCGGAAACTTTTGATGTTCATCTCTAGAGATGGGTGCTTGAATATAGTTATGTAAAAAAACTTTTAAAAACTTTTAAACTTTTAAAATTTCGCTAGAAATTTAAAATTTTTTATTTTCATGCACTTCGATGATGCAACCCAGCTGAACATACTTATGTAAAATGTGAGTAAAAAGCTTTTGAAACTGATTTAAATTCAATATTGTTATTTTATAAAAACATTTAGCAAATATAACACTGCATGTGTAAACTGTATCATGCTGTAACTGAACTAGTATAATGTTATAAGGAAATGCAACTCAGCTGAAAAATAAATAATTTAAAACTGAAACACTACGACTCAGCTGAAATAGTATGTTGCATTTTTGAAGTTATATTTTATGCTTTATATAATATATGCTTCATGCTATGATCTTGGGGTTGCAGCCGAAAACACTGCGGAGAAAACAACGCAAGGCAAAAATGTCATACTACTAAAACATTGTGGGATAAAACATCGCACTTCTAAAACATCATGGTACAAAATATTGTCGTCGAAAATAAAGCAGTTAAAAAAAACCATCATCGCTAAAAATATCGTGATAAAAAATAAAGTATCTACAAATGATTGCATGACGATAACATCGCAGACACACGTTTTTCAGGCTTTAATAATTGTAAATTGATATTCCCATAACGATTTGTGAGCACAAGACTGAAAGAAGGATAATTTTTTACTTTCATATTTTTTATTAACTAATAAATTTTTGCTGATAAAGTTTTTTTATTTTTTACAAAAACAATTTTTGTATAGATAAGGTCATGTAGTTACTTGCCTTCCTTTTTCTAATCTTTTTTAGATTGTACTTTTCATGAAAAATTACCAGTAAAAACTTTATAAAAAATTTAATGGCCTTTGTTGGTTAACTATGTCGGTTTAAAATTCTATTAAGTGCTATTAAGTTGCATTAATTTTTTATGCTTAAGTTTCCTTCTCACTTTATCAGCAAAAAATTTATGTTATTATTAATAAAAATATTAATTATTATTAATAAAAAATATGAAAGAGAAAATTATCCTTCTTTACAGCTTGCACTCACAAATCATTATGGGAATATCCATTTACAGTTATTAAAGCCTGAAAAAAGCCTGTCTGTGATGTTATCGTCGTGCGATCATTTGTAGATACTTTATTTTTTACCACGATATTTTCGATGATGATGTGATGATGTTTTTTTTTAACCGCTTTATTTTCGACGACAATATTTTGTACCATGATGTTTTAGAAGTGAGATGTTTTCTCCCGCAATGTTTTGGTTGCATGACATTTTTGCCTTGCATTGTTTTCTCCGTAGTGTTTTCGGCTGTAATCCCAAGAACGCCCCCCCCCCACACACACACACACTTTTGATTATCGAGGCCCGTAAGGGCCCTTTTTTAATTTTTTGTAAATATATGTATCTTCTTTTCTAGGAAGAAATGCCATTAAACGCTTTTATTATTTGATACACCTCAAAGTTCTTATTTCGATTTTCAGCCGCTTTTCAGCTTTTGGATAAATTTTGGTTTTCAACTGGCCTTAGAAATATTTTCCTTCCTTTCACCAACTGTGAAAATTTATTTCAAAAACCACCAATTTGTATCCTAATCCAAAGGAAAAATTTCTGTTATGTTCCCTAGTCTCTCATCTGAAATTAACAAAGATGATACCCTGAAAAATAAAAGCATGCTTTCAAAGCAGCAGTTTTTCTATTCCACTAAGAGACGGATCTAAAGTGCATTTCTCTTTCTCATATTTTCAAGTGAGCTTTCTCTTTGTGTGATGCTATCACAGTCATTTGTAAAGATCATACTGTGTCCCTCAATATGATAAATTAGTTGTCAATCCCCTCTTTTCATTTTCACTGCATTTTAGGATTTCGGAAAACATGGTGTCCTTCGAGGCTAGCATGCCACATTTAATCCCTTCAATTGTTTAACGTTTTGACGGCAGACAACAATTTTGAAATCGATGAGTCTTTCTCCTGGAAAAGGGTGAAGTGCTGTAATTAAAATTTTAGCTAAACAGAGACAAATAAGAAACTGGAGTGGAGTAAACAAAAGTAAAAAGAAGCTAATATACTTGTTTTCAGTCCTTGCAAAGGGTCAGTAAACTCTTCATTCCCCCATGAACATAATATTGAATCCTGAACAACTTGCAAATCAAGCCTTAAAAAATTATTACATCATAAACATTTATAATATAAAGAAATTCTGTCATCTCACAGAGTAGAGAATGAGAAGCCTGGTGCTGCCATCTATTAGTGTGGTACCCTCAGTATGTATATACTGGTCTTAAAAACTTATAAAGATTCTTCTTTT